ACGCTTTCATTTATTTTCTTGAATCACCCTGTATATGCAAATCCAAAAAATATGAATGGAGTGATAGATCACAAGTACAGACTGATCATATTTTGTACATTTTAGATATGATTTATTCGGCAAATTTTCGAGCTGACGTCATAAAGTTTTTGGAGGGGATAAGCAAATATATTTTGACTAAACATTTATTATGCTCTTTATAACCTTAAAACATCTGCAAGATGTCAGAGCATTCTGTTTTATAGTTCCTGATTAAATCAATAAAATATATTTACGCATTCATTATTTTTTTTGAGTCACTCTGTATATGCAAATCCAAAAAATATGAATGGAGTGTTAAATGACAAGTACAGGCTCATCATATTTTGTACATTTTAGATATGATTTATTCGGCAAACTTTCGAGCTGACGTCATCAAGTTTTTGGAGGGGATAAGCAAATATATTTTGACTAAACATTTATTATGCTCTTTATGACCTTAAAACATCTGCAAGATTTCAGAGCATTCGGTTTTGTAGTTCCTGATTAAATCAATAAAATATATTTACGCATTCATTAATTTTTTTGAGTCACCCTGTATATGCAAATCCAAAAAATATGAATGGAGTGATAGATCACAAGTACAGGCTCATCATATTTTGTACATTTTAGATACGATTTATTCCACAAACTTTTGAGCTGACGTCATCAAGTTTTTGGAGGGGATAAGCAAATATTTTTTGACTAAAGATTTATGATGCTCTTTATAGCCTTAAAACATCTGCAACATTTCAAAGCATTCTGGTTAGCAGATTAAAAATTAAATTTCAAAATGTTGTTTTATAATTTTGATTTTTTTTCCAAAAATCTGGACGTTTCGGGTGAAAAGTCGATTCAGAGTTGTAAACTACATGTGTAGGACTATGTTATTTTATACAATTGAAAACCCATTTACTATGTACAATTTTGAAGTGACGTCATCGCATTAGTGGTGGGGATGATTAGACAAATTTTGGTTAGCGTTTTACCATCTACATGATATTCTTAATATAAGTACAAAATTTCACAACAATCGGTCGAGTACTTTCGGAGATTATCTGTCTAATAAAATCCGGGACAACAGACGGACAGACGGACAGACGGACAGACAGACGGAAATGGGAGACCTATTTCTTCGTCTTCTAGGGGTCATGAAAGATCGAGAAAACGTAAAAGTAGAGAGTCGGCCGACGGACTCGATTACAATACTTCCTTTGCTTACGCTCGGGAAGTAAAAAACTGGCAGCCTATTTCGACAAGTGTCAATTACCGAAAGACAGTATCATAAATCTTTACTAGATGCCGCTGTCACATTTTTTTAATTTTAAATAATTTATTCATGACTCATTTTGGTTGCTTTAACACAAAACATTATGTAAAATTTTGACAACAATCGGTTCGATAGCTTCGACAGGATACGTGTCTAAAAAAAACGTATACAGACGACAGACACACGGAAACGCAAGACCACTTTTTTCGTACTCGTAGTCATGACACGTCGAGAAAATATGAAAATGGCAATTCGCTCGATGGACTCGCTTACTACACTTCCTTAAATTATGCTCGAAAAGTAAAAACAGCTTCACAGAACGAATTATTAACTTCAGTTTGTAGTGTACTTTTTTACTTCTCGAGCGTAAACTAAGGAGTATTGTAAGGTAATAGGATATATCCGGCGAATCGCTACGTTTTCTCGACGTTTGGTGATCTCTAAAGTAAAGGAAAAAAACCTGTCTGTCTTCTGTCGTCTGTATCGATTTTTATTACACCGATAATCTCCGAAAGTACTGCACCAATTATTGTCAAATGTTGTATTTTAAGAATATCATACAGATGGAAAACGGCTAACCAAAATTTGTCTCTTAGACATACCTACTTGTACATACATTTAAATAATGGTCTTACATTACCAGAGTACTTTCTTGATGGCTTTGCTAACAACTAACTAATTTCAAAACGGAAAACGGCACTTCACATGACAAAACACACGAGAAAACACATGACTACCATTAGGAAATAGATTTTAAAAAATTCTTCCAGGGACTATACTGCTACAATGCAGTTGTACAAATAATCTTTGTGAACCCGTTTGAAAAATCTTCAAATATCTTAAATGAATTTTTAATGCAGATGGTGCCTCGCAAAAACATAATAGTTTCAACAACAATTACGTTCACAATTTTTGAAGTTAGACAATCTTGCATTTTTTTTTTCCTCATTCTTTAATTTAATCGCTCTACATAAAAAAAATATAAATACATACTTATAAACAATTTTGCTAAACAGTCGTGTCACCACTGCACCTTCTTTAGTTACAAGGTGCCGATGAACTTTGGACACTTTTAACTCATGGTTAAAGTAATTGAACAATGACGATGTTTTTACACACAGTAACAAGAGATAAAACAAAAAGTGCAAATTGTGGAACACCGCACGCAATTTATTTACAATAAAGGTTAGATCATCATGACAAGCCACTTAAAAATAATGACGAACTAATAACTACAATAGAGAATAAAAATTCGGAGGTGGAAATAAAGAAGACCTACCTGCTTTTTTAATCAAAATGTCGATGACTGCATAATAAATGAGCTTATAAACCAATTTCACTTATTATGGTTAATTAATTCCATTATTTCGTTTGTTTGGTAGCCTCTAAAGTTATTTTTAATGGAAGCATAAGTTCCATAAGTGGGCTGATTAAGTTTTACAAACATATTTTTCTCAAATTACAGTAGTACGATCTTTCAAAAATATTTGCAACAATTTTAAATTTTATCTCAGCAAATCTTAAACCAGTGTGTTGTGCGTATTTATAATAATTAGTAGCCAAACACTGCGTACCGAACGGTACGTTTAAAACTAAAGTATCATCAGTGGCAGCTCGTGGGTTAAGTCAAAGGAAACCACACAATTATGTACATCGGTGTGGAGACAAAAAATCCGCACAAACTTTAAATCCCTATAGACTAATTTAGCTTTGAGAGAAATGGTTGGTTACGGTATGTGATTTTTTGACACTTATCAAAAATTGTTATCGCTAGTTCCTCTGTATCGCCCAAATGCATTTAAAAAATTCCTTCACAATTAATCACTTTTTTCAAATGAGGATATCAAAAAGGACAACTTATGGTACTTGTGGAAGTCTACAAAATAGGAATTCTAAAGAAATAAGACGTGGAATGCCAGCAAGAAAAATTACCCAGAATAAGAGAAAAGCCTTAAGTAGTTAGAGCCGCAGTAAACTTGGAATTTCACACTTGGACAGAAATTTCTATTCGATAAAAAGTACATATTTTAATAACATATTAAGGAAGAATAAAGTCATACTTTCACAGCGAAATTCAGTTCCCAAATATTCAGAAAAACAAAAATTGGAACAAAAACAAAAATTAAGAAATATTTTTGAATCATTATGTAGCCAACGTTATTGTTGCATACAATGAATTAAATATTCAGTTTATTCCTAAAGACAAAAATGGTGTGAACGTTCCTCCACTGAGACCAACTGAGCGCTTTTGGAGAAATCCAAGGATAAATTTGTGTGAAATTAAGTGGGAAGCCTCCAAAGATGCAAAATTAAGCGGTGTATACTATTGAAAATCTGGCGGACAAAAATATCGGCTTTTCCAAATTTAACGCACCGAGTTGCATAAGTAACAAAAATTCGCGAAGCAAATTACGGAGACTCCTGTCGTGCTCCTCCAAGTTTTATTTTTAAATACATTATACGTAAAAACAACTTGTGAAAAAATTCTGAACAAATTTTGAGCAAAATGTAGCCCAACAAAAAAAAGTCTAAAATTATTTACACAGACTTTCCCTTCCTTTTGAAACACAACCTAACAAATCCAATTTCTTGGATAAATTATAAAAGTGGAATCTATAAATTGTATTTTCCTATACCGCCTATATACAAAAACCGTCATGGGGTGAAACGAACTTATTAAACTTATAACTTAAGTGTCTTTCCAAGATTGTTTACTTCCAACCCAAGATTTACAAAATTTGCAGCTCGCCATGTTAAGTTTTCTGAAAAAAAAAAAACACGACGTACCAAAACACACTGTGCGTGAGGGAAAAAGTAACTGACAGGTACGTAGATGAAGTACAGATAAAACGATAGGGTTTTCTAGCCTGCTCGCATCTGCGCACAACTGTGTTTTGTCCCAAAACTGTTACATTGGAAGCGTACGACATGCTCCCTCCGTTCTTATTCCCACCTCGATTTTGATTATGGAATTACCATCTCTACGATAACTTTAAACCATCTGCAAAATTTCAGAGCAGCTGATTTTATATCTTCTAACACAAATTTTCAAATTTTCGAAAAATATAAATATCTATGGTAAAAAATAAGCGCGGATTATTCCAACCGCACACCTAGAATTTCACAACAATCGGCACAATAGTTTCGAAGATTATGTGTCTAATAAAATCGCTAACAAACAGTACAGTGGGAGTTATGAAAACATAAAAATGGCATTCGCCAAATGGATCTACATACTTGCTATATCTACATACTTTCCTAGCTTACGATTTGGAAATAAAACGCGATAATATTGAATCAATATTTGTACTGATAATAATTTTCCTATACTTTCATAGAGTTGCAAGTGATGAAATTTACCGAAAACTAAGGTGCAAAATTTGTAGGTCGTAGAACTTACTAAACTTTATTTGTAATTGTACTTACGAACTTTTAACGGTAAGTGACAGCACTTTTTATGACTTAAGTTGGTACGTTTTGAATTATGAATACAATTTTGAAATATGTTGAAAAGGAATTAAATAAATAGCAGATTATTTACGAAAAATTAATTTCTACTGGCGCGAATATGAAATGCATGTTAAGCAATAGTCTCTACCAAAGGTTTACAGTTGAAATTACTTTTTATTTTTTCAACCTGCTTATTAACAAGATAACGGTATAAGTTCTATTTCTAAATTGGGAAAGCTAATTGAACAGCAATAAATCTTACCTTCAACAATTGTAACTGATCGAAAGTAAGCTCCTTAACTGGAAGTTCAAGCATGTCGGTATCATCTAACTGCTTCTTTTTCTTCATGGAAATACAAACATGGAAATCGTGATACACGATAGGCACTAAATCTTTACTCAGTTGGACATCAAACTCTACAAAGTCTGCTCCATGGTCGACGGCGTTCTTTAAACTGGCAACTGTATTTTCCCTAACTTCGGCGCAATTCTGGGTCTTAAAACTAGACCCAGATCCTCTATGTCCAACGTCCAAACCGGCTCTGTTCTTCTTCCAGTGTCTGCCGTACGAAACACTCAAATCACACTTGAAATTGGGCATTGGTTTAATTACAATATAATCTATTCGAACTTGGCCCAAGGGTCGATGTTTGGTACTCGTCACAGGCAAGACAACACTACCCTCCGACGACTGAAGGACCGTGGGAAGTAAATAACTAAATCCAGCATGATGCGGCGGTTCACCTTCACCCCGTCTCGAACTATAGATATACAAGTCTATCAAAAAAGCCACATTCGCCGGAAACAAGACGGTAGCTTGGAAAATTAGCATGTCATTTTCCTTATATTCTTCTCCAAATTGTAGCTGAGGATGAAAAGTTGCATCTTCACCGTTCAAACTGGCAACTTCGCATAGGGCGTGCTTGGGGTTTTCGAATGTGTCTTGAGTATCCGCACTGAGGGACTCCTCTAGTGCCTCAGACATGGTCTTAGGGTGACTCGAGGTATGACGCAGCAAACCAACTGGCGTCACCTTGATGAAAACCTTGCGGTTCGTGTACTTGGGGCGCCACAGCGTCAAGGGGTTATTACAGAACTTCAGTTGGATAAGTGTTTCCTTGTTCAACCAGCCTCTATCGACCCTTTCAGTCTCGTCGTATTCTCCGTAAGTTTGCGGATCATCCGTCTCAGAGGGTGATTTCTCGGTGGCCAGGATGTTTCTGGGCTTGAAGTGACCTTCCCAGCTGCGCACAATCACCTGGTGAAACAAATATAAAAATATAGAAAAATCCAAAGCTTTTTACAACACATGCGCAACAATAAACTGCGTATTGCTTTAAAAAGTGTTTTCAAAATATTACCAAAAATTGGAAAACAGAAGACAAGACTAATTAGAAAACTGGCAACATGGCAAAATCAAAAAAAAATACATATAAAACCGATAAACCGCTCTTATGTGCAAAACAAAACATTCAGACTCGCCAGAAGTTAACGATCACGAACTGACTGATCAATTTTTAACAAGTTCTGTGAATTGAAGATTAATAAGAAGATTACCAAGAGTTCTATAAGTTTTCTCATAAGATTTACTATTCTTTTTTACATTCACCTTTTTTTATATGTTTCAAGAGAACGTATTAAAAATAAACACTGTACTGTATTGAATTGGATTTTGACTAGTTATTTGCAGCAAATACAACACTTTAGATAGTATTTGTTTTTTGATTTAGCATTCGAGTTTAAACAATTCTATCCCTTAAAAACTATTTTATTGTATCTTTATTGAAAATAATATCCCTTTTTTTTCGGCTTGAGATTTTTGCTTTTTAGGGTATTTGGGGATGCAACCTAACATAAAAGGTCATAAAACAGGACTTGCTGTGATCAATGCTCCAATTTTATTAATATTTTTGTTTTGAAATTTGTATATTTTGTAGTTCCCACGTCCCTGAAATACAATCAAACAATTCAAATTCTTACGTAACATTTAATTCTCCAAATTTTATTTTTTCATGATAACTCCTATAAGTTGAAAAAATGCAATATGTATATTTCAAGAGAGTTTTTCTTACAATTTTGTCATGACTTTGGTAGGGACAAATACTTCAGTGTAATACTAATAACAGCAAAGTATTACGACTCTGTACTTGTAGTTTATCAACGCACTCCACTCATAGTTTTTACAATTACTTATACAGAGACTCAAAAAAATTAATGAAAGATTAACTTTATTTTATTTATTAAATCAGGAATTGCACAACCGAATGCTCTGAAATCTTGCGAACGTTTTAAACTTATCGTAAGCATGGTAAATTTTTAATCAAAATATGTATATCTGTTTATCCCCTGCAAAAAATTGATGACGTCAAATCAACATTTTGCCGAATAAATCCTATCCAAAATGTGCAAAATATGATGAGTCTATAGTTGTGATTTATTATTGAATGCAGAAATTTTGAGTTGCTTATATGTACAGAGTGGCTCATAAAAATTAATGAATGAGTCAATTTATTTTATCGATTAAATCAGGAACGGCTCACCCCATTTTCCAGAAAATTTGGCAATGCAATACTGTTATCATTAGTATTACACTGCATCTATCCAAAGTGTCTTTGCAAAAATGTTGCTGACGTCATCGCAAAATTTTGTTAAGGGAAAAGTCATTTGAAACGTACGCAAAGCATGCTTCTTTACATTTACTTTAACCTTACATACATATCTTTATTTTAACTTATACGGGGTTCTCATAAAAAAATTTATAATTTTTCGAAAAAACTGGATTTGTTTCATAACCTTAAACAATTTTTTTAAAATACAATCAGTCCAATAGTTTCAGAGACTATCTGAATAGTAAAATGATTCATAGACGACAAAGATAAAACAGACGGAAACAGAATATTTTACTAAAAATTTTAGTTTCATTGCTAATTTGCGGCAATTTTTAGTTCGCCACAGTGCAATGCAATAAGGCCACTTGCCAAGGAAGAACTCTCCTATTTAAGAGTAAAAACTAACTAAAACTAGTATGGCACTTGGCCTACCCAATACCACTGTTTGCATTTATTAAATTTTATGAGGCATCCCCTGTAAAATACTCACGAAATCAAAAATGCTTACGAAGTCGAAGTTATAAACACACAAGTTTTCTTCGAACTTTGCCTTTTCATGCTTGATGAGCTATGAAACGCTGAGAAAACATTTACATTAGCCAGTTGCTTAGCTCAGGAAATAAAAATAATCACATTTTTTAAAGGAAGGAAGCGGTTACCAGTTACAGATACACGGTTATTATTATTACGATTATTGGTGTCTCGTCACAGACAAGTCCAATTATGAGACTTCATAATCGAGTATTTACTGTTTTTAAAACTGATAACCAAAAGGCCAAGAACATATCAGATCTGTCTTGTCTTCTCGTACTATGGTGAACACCACCCTCATTCATCAACAGGGCACATGTAAACTACAGCGGATAACAAAATCAGATAGGGTCACTCGTTTATCAGTAATGACTGGGGATTACTCGAAATTCGTTTCTTCTTCATCTTAGCAAATCTGGCTCTGTAATGGTTCTTCTACAAAATACCGGCATTTACCAAATATACGAGTATAATATTATTACATTATCATTATTACAAAATTTATAATACAATAATTATTATTTTTCACCTTTTCAAAAGGAAAATTGTTAATACAAATAAAATTATTCTATACGCTGACGTCCTAACAAAAACTTTTGCAATATTAACTAAATGACAAAAGTAAAAAAACACCATGAAGGAATGATAATTTTGTAATGAATTTGTAACAATTGATTAGAATTTAAATGATATCAGTCCAGTAGTTTTTTTTGTACGCTGAAGAAAAAATTATCATGGTATGTATGGCTCCTCTGATCATTTCCGGCACGTTTTTGTGTTTGACATGTTTATCACAAGGCCTAGAGTAAGTCGCCGTCTAAATTTTCGCCAACTCTGCGACTCTGAAGGAGGTCGAATAGTGGGTCTTCGGGAAAAGGAATTATTGTTTCGCTAAATTGAAACCCGATTAAACAGGTTCTTATCATCTGTGGCAAATTGTTATCAGGTTTGGTTCCAAGAAGGAACAGCACAACGAACCAGACATCCAGGGCATCCCCCATAAGCAACAGCACGTCAGGAGCGTCATCTACGACTATTAACTGTGAGGGGTAATTTTTCGACTACATGTTCGATTGCAGATAAATGGTTTGCAGAAGAAGGAAGACTGGTAACAACAAGATTACCAAGAGCCATATAAAGTTTTTCGGACTCATGTCGCACCGGCTACAGTTTGGTGTTACCAGTCACCGCTGCTCACAAACGCCACACTTAAGAGTAGTGTCGAGAAAGGTTAGGCTGTAATGAGGACTGGCATCAGGTCGTCTTTACTGACGAATCCTGATTTGGTTTGGGCATGAGCTATGGTCGAATAAAGTTAAAGTGAAGGCGTGGAAAACGACGACATCCACAGTTTTTTTGCGTGGAGCGGTATGTGCAACGAAATGTTAGGCTTCTGGTGTGGGGACGATTGGATGGATACCGCAATGGATCAGCCTGATCTTCCTTAGAAGAACTATAGATCCACGGCAATACATCGTGGATAATGTAGAGACCCTTCTTCTTCGATATCTTCACATCCTGCAAAACGCTGTTTTTCAACTAGAAGACAATGTTAAACAAGTTGAAGACAATTTTGACCCTTGCCATCCAAAATCTTGACATATCCCTTATCAAAAATGTTTGGGATGTGATAGAAAGGACGCTGCCCAATTTACCTCACCCTTCAGAGTTTTTGGAAGGATCTCGGCACAAAGTATAGATGGCATAGGACGAAATACTCCAGAATGGTGTTGATGACATCATTAGGTCAATGTCTTGAGGTGTCAAGGAATGTAATTATACTTTTTCAGTACAAGAAAAAAATTGTTTTTAATAAAAACTACTGGAGCGATAACACTGAAATTCTTATCAATTCTTATTCTGACAACCCTTACCCTGTGTATAAAATTTCATTACAAAATCACGATTCCTTCTTGGTGTTCTTTTACTTTTGTCACTCAGTATTCTAACTACACCTACAACAGAACATTTTTAGAAAAAATAACGAATCGTGTGTAAATCTTTAAACGCATCGAGTACAACATCTGAGTACAGGGTACTACCTACATACCGTTGCAGTTTACATAGACCTTTCTCGGACCTTGTGAAAAGTTCGCTGCAGTTTACATGTAAAGGTTAAAAGAGTCCCTCCCTGCGCTGCAGTATACATTTACCGCATTCAACAAGGACATAAATTGCGGGCCATTAACCCTTTTTGCATTTATTTTAGTTAGTTACACGAAGTCCTCTGGTGGGGATGTTTTCAGGAAACATAAATGCTGTAAAATACTGAGACGAAATTTTAACTCCACGTTTAATCGACTCGTTAATAATGATTGGTGAGTTAATTTGTGGTTACTTTGAGTAGGATGGTGCTAGTGACATTTTGGCTGAATTTTATGACAATAAGATTAATTGCTGTAATATCCGAACAATTGTGATGTCACTCCTTCGGACCTCTTGTGGTCACATATAAAAAATTATGCAACACCCTTAAATGAGTTGGGAAGAATTGCGGAATAGGATGGCACTAAAAATTAATGCAGGAATTAATGGAAGGTTAGGTTGTGTTTACAAGAAGAGGGTTCCCACTTCCAGCATTTGTTGTAATTTAATATTAAAATTCTTTAATAACTCATATGTAACAGATACAAGAAAACATTCTGTACGGTAATGTTCGACTGAACTATGGAGAATATTGTTTTATTATTGTTACAGAAAATTTCCTATGTTCTCTTTTACTATCTGAAGAAATAAAAATTTAGCTGAGAGAACTGTAGTAATGAAGTGCTTCTTCTAATAACCATTATAATTTTGATTACTAACGTTTATTTTTTTATTTCAAAAGTAACTTGTCAACACAAAAAAATTGTCACTTGGTTTGTTAAAAATAAATGAACTGTGAGCTAAAGTTTTTCAAAGACTCGAAAATGGGGTTCCTTATGTTACGAGAAGGTGTCGGCTAGCATATAATTTTGGGGATGCAATAATATTGTAATTATTTATTAATAGGTATTATCTCAATAATCTACGTTAAGCTGATTGGCACTAAAATGAAATTTTTTTTCTAATCTAACATTATTTTGTTGTGAATGTTATTTTCAAACATCGAATATTTTTCTTGCAAAATTTCTAACACTAAATTTGACAGTTGTTTTCTAAGTAGTTCTAAGTAAAACGGTTCTAAGCGATGTTTTTCATTTTCAACAGACTATTTTAATATAGCAGCATCTCCTGACAAGCCAAATTTAATAAGATTACCACCCTTTGATAAGGCCACGGGACAAGGCACGTGCATTGTGAGAACGACTGTCAAAAATGATGTTATATAACACATGTAAATACATGAAAACAATTTATTGCAAGTGTCCAAGTTATACAATTCTAAAGAAAGCTATTTTTCGACAATTCAAAAACCACTGAAATATTAAATACAGTTTGACGGTCGTCGAGGCCTTCAAGGAAGTAACAACTTAGGTTATGTTACTTCCATCCCTTGTTCATCAGTTACATGTGTTTCTGCTGTCTGATGGTCTATTTCCCACTCTATCCGTGTTGCAAACAAAGTCCTACCGTGAAATCAAAACTCGGACAATCATTACAAAGACACCTTTTTTAACCCGTCAGGGATCTATCGATCGTATACACTGTATTGAAAGCACGTTGAAAACGTCACCCCACTCTTCCCTAAACCGAATAACAAATTCGCTTCGTGCAAGCAGTAATAAATGGCGAAAACACACAGTATATACATATTTTCTATATTTTTTTCAAACTTAAATTAATCTGAACCCAATGTGGGCCCACTTTCCCACACTATGGACTTTGCATTCCTCGACTCCTTACCTGGAGGCCGGGTTCGACGACGACGCACACCAGGTAGCGGTACTGCACGTTGACTTTATCCGGGATCATGATGGTTTTCGACCACACGTCCGAATCGCCCTCCTGCTCCAGTGGCACGCATTTCTCGGGCTGCCATGAGCCCAGTTCGGGAACGTTGCCAGAAACACAAACCACCTCATCCTTCTTGAGGTCGAGCACGCGGGTGCGAAACAGCCAACGCCTGGGAGGGTACTTCGCGGTGGACTTGGCAGCTTGCTGCTGCACTTCTTCCCCCTTGGCGGCCCGCAAAATAGCGTTGTTGGGGTCTTCGAGGAAGAACCACCGTTGCATGCTGGCGTTTTATCCGCAAAATGGCACAGATTTCACTGACAACGAAGCCAATTTTCGCGAAACAAAAGGCAGTTTCCAGTGGATAAATTTCCGCGGATTATTTGCTATTGCACAAAAGTGACATATTAAACACAACTACTGTCACCTGAGTAAAGTAGGCAATAATGCAGGCATTTTTCGGTCGATTTTACTAAATTTTGGCTTCGCTGCTTGGATACCAATAAACACTACACACGCTTACCGACAGCAGCTGACGGCAACTGCCAAAAGGGTTTGAGTGGATAAACGAGTGTGCGCAATGTGATACATTTGTGTTTTGATCGGTTTGCGCAACAATTCATACGCAACATGATCGTCATACCATCACTCAAATATACAAAAAAGAGAGAAAGTAGGTACCTAATTATTATTCTATCAGTTTTTAGATATATTGACTAAATATTTGCGAATAACAGCAAGACTATGCGGTGGCTCTGACGAGTCCAAACAGGTCCAAAGTCCGGTCACGCGACTGCGAGTTATGTCTAGTTTTTACCACCGACCTTTATCATGGAATTAGGATGTTTATTTTTGCAGCACTGCAGAATAGCAACAGACTTATCGTCAATATTTTATTTTTATATTAACAAATTTTAATACGAAAATAATGACAAAAACATATACTTTCAGTGTCAACCAATCCAGTATAAAAAAAAATAACTGAAAATTAAAACCAAACATGAGAAACCATGTGACCTTTGCTCCGTCTCAATCTCAACATCCGTAACGTCAAAGGTACACCGCACGCACTATAACACGTGATGTTGTACATTTATTAATCAACACACTCATCATTATGACATCAGACAAGAAAACAGCCGCCGCGCCGCTGCATTTTATGTTTAAGTATGTACTTTTGTACTTTCTTGATTATTAAAACAAAATTAATTCCTAAGTAACGCAATTTACTTCCGGGCAACTATCCAAGGAAATGCTTTTTTGCCCAGTCTGTATTTATACATTACCTGTTTCTAAAAAATTCGCCAAGTTGTTTACGTGAAACTTTTCTCGCCTCTGAAGCATCAGTCAACACAAGTTTGTGTAAATTAAACATTTTCAAATAATCTGCCAAATTCCTCGCCTTAGAGCACAGCAACACTTTCATTATTACGCTGCAGAAACAAGTAAGTCTGGCATAAATAAATAATATTGTTATATATATTTTTTCTTTTTTACATGTTTGTATTATTTGCATATGGCTGATCATTTTTCAGCAAGGAACATAAATTTTTTAAAACGGGCCACCCTTTTTTTTTATTAAAATAAAGATATGTATATAGTGTTCAAATAAAGGTAAAGAAGCTTGCTACGCGTTTGTTTCAAGTGAGTTTTTCCATTACAAAATTTTGTGATGACGTCATCAAGGTTTTTCAAGGACACATATCAATTTGGATTGGATAGATGCAATGTAATACTAATAATAACATTTTTCGGGAAAATGGAGCAATGAATCGTTCTTGAATTTTGATTTAATGAATAAAATAACGAAACAATTTAATCACGTCCGCCATGTGTAAAAGCAGAAATGCAACTGGACTGGAAAGCATATAAAGTACTCGTAAATAAAGACAAAATAGTGATAACGCCTGTCGAGGCTATACACGTGAGAGTGAAACAGAGAAAGTAAACTTAACGACATTTTCTACGAATTGCAATAACCGGATCACAATGTGGTGGTCCAGACTTTTTTATTGCTTCGACCTCCGTTTATTTTGATTTTCGATGTTGTAATTCACATTTGGTTAATTATAACTCGTCTAGATCTAGGGGAGGCAAAAATTTCTCGCAGCTTCCCCTGGCTTCCGCTTAGCTGCGGTCCTGTCTAGGGGTCATCAAACGTCGAGATCATATAAAAGTACTAAATCGCCCGATGAACTCGATTACTGTATACTAAGATCACTTTAAATACAAACTAATAATATTTAACAACTTTAGTCAAAGAACCCAACCCGCAAAACTCTTGGAGCAACACAGGAAAATCTGTAGGCACGCGATGTTGCTAACATGTTTACAAGGACCCTAATGCGAAAAGCCGATTCGGCATTGTCAACCAAATAATTCTACTTAGGTCATAAAATTTTATTAGTATGCTTTTAAAGTGATCTTACAATATTTCCTTAGCTTACGCTCAGAAAGCAAAAATGGTCTCTCAGCAATAATAACGACTTCAAGTGTTTATGTTAATACACCGGAAGAATGACACGTAGATATTAGTTTGATTTGAATGAGTCTGTCGCTTCAAAACAGAGAATTAAAATTATTAATTACACACAATCGAACAAACTATTCTGAATATTATTATTATAATTCTTTTTTAATCATTATTAAATAAAGACGTGCGTATTCTCACATTTTCGGGAAATGGCAGTTCTTACTTTGATTACACTGCACCAATCCAAGTTGATATACGTGTATACTGTATATCAACAAAAATTGGTGCAGTGTACTACTAATAATAACGGTATTGTATTCCCAAATTTTCCTGATTTAATCAATAAAATAAATTGACTCATTTATTAATTTTTTTAAGCTACTTGTACAAGCAAATCTAGAAATTATGAATGCAAACATAAATCACCACTAAAAACTCGTCATACTTTGCACATTTTAGGTAAAATTTATTCGTCAAAATTTTGAGATGACGTCATCAATTTTTTGGGGGGAGTAAACAGATATATTTTCATTAAAAATTTACCATGCTTACAATAACTTTAAAACATTGTAAGATTTCACAACATTCAGTTTTTGCAAATTCAAAATAAAATTGCAAAATGTTGTTACATAATTTTATTTTTTTTCCGAAAATCTGCACGCTTCAGGTAAAAACTTGACATGGATTCATAAACCACACGTATAGGACTATGTTATTTTATATGATTTAAAACCCATTTACTGTGTTCAATTTTGAGGTGACGTCATCACACTGTTAAGTGGGGATGATGAGACAAAGTTTGGTTAGTATTTTACCATCTACTGATATTCATAATACATACATAAGTATATAAAATTTAACAACAATGGTCCGGTAGTTTCGGAGATTATCTGTCTAACAGAAATTGACACAGCATTATACCTATTAACTACAATAGTTCTGTAAAATTTTAGATTTTTTAGACAGGGGGTATTCTTATATATCTCCGAAGGTATATAATTTTTCCTTTATTTTCTTTGCAAATACATAACTCATTTGAATTGGTGGTAGTACAATATTGTATTGAAGTAAATAACATTACGTAGATTGTTCAAAGTTGGTATGAGGTCATTGTGTGGTAAATATTTCATTCAGGTAATGAACTGTACTTCCGTGAAAATCGATAGCATCTGCAGTATACATTAGAGAATTCTTTTAAAAATCAATATAAGTATTACATAAAAATGTGTATGTTAAAGTGTTGATCGTTTAAAAAAGCAGTTTAAGCTATTTCATCAGATTGTTAGTTAGCTAATAATAAACATGGGAATGCAGTTTTAATTACTAACACATTATTAAATCACAAATAAAGCGTAAAGATTAAATCATCAAATTTTTGTGGTGGGTGAATTCTCATTACCGATTTACGACGTCCCTGATAAGTGATAACATTAAAGCGGGTGCAAAATTTCAGAACAATCGGTTTCCTAGTTTTTAAGTCAAACTGTAAAACTTTGTTATACCTATTACTTTGGATTTTTTTCTACAAACCTACATAAGCAAGCTTAAAACAGAAGTTTAATGATTATGATTAATAAGTCACAGGTATAGAACCATAGAAAAGTGATTATTCTAGAGGGAAAAATAGTATAGATAGGATCATTTTAAGTTCAACATGATGAGTCATCAGAATCTGACAGTAGCGTAACATGCAAACTTCAGAAGGGGATGGTCTTTTAAAATTATTTTGTTTTTTCAAATCGCAAGCAATAACACAGGGAAACATAAACTGAACTCCTCAACTCGTTAGCACAAATGCGAATGAATCTATTAGGCACTCTGAAGGTGCGCCCACCCCTTAAATTTGTAAGTGGACTTGGCCCGACCGATTTTGTGCTCCAACGCAGTTTTACAGCTGTGTTGATCTTAAGGTGCAAGATATCTATCTGTGTATTTTATAGGTATAATGAGAGGAGGGAAGATAGCAGAGGTGCTGAAGTGACATAGCCTCCTCTTTATCCTTTCATTGTGCATTCAGACCGGACCACCAATAAGGGTTGTAATGTAAAGATATCTGTAAAGGCTGATTGGAGCGATTTTTCAAAATGGTGAGAGTATTTTGTGAAAGATAATCTGAAAATGTGCTTGATGTCGCGCTTTCGACTATGGAAATAAGTGGCTCTTCCAGTACCCGAGAAACTGATTGTTATAGGTTGTTCCAGTGACATGCTAGAAAGCATTTGCCAGATACTGGGTATAAAATACAAAACTAATTTAATAAGATAGAATATACAGAAAAATAAGCACTGCGAAAAAATGTCCGGAATCAAAATTTAATCTTGTCGTGGGGGAAATACATTAGAGCTAAAATTAGCCGTCCTCCCCCTCTCCTTGTAGGCAGGGTATATTTGTTATTGCAGATTCGGATCTACGGCTAAAAGTACGAATGATTTATCTGAAACCTTTATTTCGATTCCTGATAGATGGCGCTGAATGAAGAAATTCCAATTTTTTCCACTTCTCCTACTGAGAACCCAAGGTCCCTTTATAGTGGTTACTGATTACTATTACGGAATCTTGCTGAGAACCTATGCATACGATTCTGCAATACGTTGGCAATCACAAATTCCACGTTTTATGTAAATACTGAAATTCGTCGTCAAAAAACTTTATTAATATTGCAAATTTCGATTAACTTGAAAACTGTTATATGTAAAAATATAAATGGCTGTAGAATAAACTACTTTTAGCGTAACCCAGGAACAACGATTTGGACGAAGTAGTTTTCTGTTCCCTTTGGGATGCTTGATTAACGTGAGTCCCCCTGCCTCTCACATATCAGGGTGCTCGATTTAGATAAGTCCCCTTGTCTCTCAGGGTGCTTGATTTAGGTTAGTTCCCTCGCCTATCAGGCAGTTTCATTTATGTGAGTCTCTTCGCCTCTCACTTATAGGGTGCTTAATGTACATGTATGTGCCCAAAATGATAGCCTTCGAATTCACTGAATATTGAATGTACACTGAGAAATGTGTGTGCTTGAGTTTCGGCACAAACATTTCTGATTCGCTCAGTCATATTTTCACGTGTTGTTGGTTCTTGTTTGTAAACTTTGTCTTTGAGATAGCCCCACAAAAAAATCTGGCGAACTAGAGAGATCTGATAATCTGGCAGGCCAATTTACCGGACCAGCTCTACCGATCCAGTAACCATTGAAATCATGATCAAGTACTTCACGTACTACCATCGAATAGTGTTCTGAACAACCATCATGGGCAATGTTGGCTTTTCATTTTCCAAAATGTCTCGGTACATTTCACCATTCAAGTTGCCTTTAATAATGGAATGATTAAATTTTGAATTTGGACATTTTTTTTGTAGAGTGCTTATTTTTCGAGACATTTGAAAGTTTCAGGTTAAAAAAATCACCCTGTATAAACGGTAGCAGTAAAATTTGCATTACTTTTTATGTTGCTATACATAGTAAATAGTAAGACTTTTTACCGTCTATGAACCTATTTTAAACCAAACGGCACCGCGTGTAATCCTCATGGTAGTCTTTCGTATTTATTATATTTTTTATTTTGCATTCATTCATCAGATACATCTCGGCTTCTTAAAGGTGCGAAGTGCAATTTCGTGCATTTGTTGTGGTTCGGTAAACAACATTTTTTGATAGATTGATGCAATAAAATTTTATTAGGGTACTCAAACTCAAACGGTTTACTGTACCTGTGGCAGTATTCTTTGGAACTTTATAATACACTATATTGATTTAATGATTACTAAGCTTTAACTCAATGTTTTATGTATATGTTCATGAATGGATTTATTTTATCTATTGTTTCAGGAATCCTGAAAGAAAATTGAAGCGCCATAATAATGCTACGTCGTACACATCAAAATAATTACATTTGTTTTGGTATTGGTTTTGCTGCAGAAGCGAAAGAAGGTCAGTGGAAATAAATCTGTTCCTTCCATTAGAAAATTATTGTTTCAATTTTAATGCAAAAATTTTGAAAAAAGATTTTTATTTTTATGTATGTATGTAACATCACTAATATTAGTGATGATGGACTACACTTTCATCTCCTTTATAATTAGCTGTATGTACCTCTATTTTTAAAATATGATTATACAATGTACACTAAAAGGCGTTTTAACGAGGAGGGTAGAATAATATTAATTAATTATTCTACCCTCCTCGCGTTTTAATCATAAGAGTACTAGTCCGAGTACTAGAGTAGTTTCAAGATCTCGTGGCGGACGAGTTTGAGCATCACTGCGCATCGGATCCGACCAAACTCAGCGGCGGGCGTAGAGGGGTAGAGGCTACTGTCTGTTCCGAAAAAGTATCCACATAAGTATTTAGGACGGCGTTGTAACCGATCGCTTAACCCGAGCACTACCGACCGCGTGTACTAGACTCCGCCTCGCGCATCTCGTCCGCCACGAGATCTTGAAACCACTCTAATAATGCATTCACTTCCATTATGCATGAATTTTGTTTTCTGATAAATTTCTAAGAATTATCTTTGTTGTTCAGATTGCATGGGTATTCCCAGCTATGATTCGTAGTAGCATTTATAAAATCACAAATCCTGTTTAATTTGTTTTTTGATATATACTTATCTTAAATATGGTTCGATTAACTTATAAATGTAAATAAGTCTATCGCTGCAGTATTTGAAAGTAACATAAAATTACAAAATATACCTACTAGTTTCAATTTTTTAATCGCTTTTCTGAATTCAAAAAAAACTCATTAACTCAATCCCTTAAAAGCAAAAATAATTGGAGTAGCACTTTGATAATAGAAAAAGATGTGCACTTTATTTATATGCAATATTGTATTAGCTAGGACTAATTTTCGTAAAAATTGAGTGAGTGTCCTCCTCCAATACGTATATAAAATTGTAATAAATTACCTACCTATAAACTGTTTATAAGTTTAGACGTAGTATTATGATAACCATCAAATTCAGCTGCATATGCATAGATGGTATAAATAAACCCCTATAAATTTAAAAATATTCGCCGTGTGAGCAAACCTATAACATTTCAGCACGTATAAATAAGTGCAACAATCCACAATACTGAAATGAGGAATAAGGAATACAACAAATGATATTTCTTATCGTTTATTCCTTATTTCTTGCATTGCGTTTAGGCCTTTATTTTGTTATTAGAAAGTTTCTCAGATTCATTAATTATTCCAAGCACCATCTAGTGGATAACAACATCACTACAATTTTTTTATCTTACATTTCTAGTTACCTGTACAGTACTATTTAACTTGTCAGTCTTCGTTCTTTGTTACATGTAATTAGGTCAATAGGCCAAACAAACTACAATTTATCAATAATAGAATTATCCGCAACAATGAAATTTACATTATGTATATAAATTTTTATTCTGAAAAATGAAAATAATGCTCTTAAAAAATAACGTATAAAACGAAATATCACTAATAAATAGTCATTTTAATTATTATTTAACGTCATATTAAATTCGCTTGAAAAAAAAATAACAGTATAATGTATTTTACAAAAACTTACAATATACACCGTTATTAACATACCTAGCAATTAGTATTTACATGAGTGTGATAAATAGGTATGTAAACTGTACACGTTATTTCATTCACTCTAGTCGTGCTAAATCACAATTGAATAAATTAAAACGGATGACAACATCCTCATCAAAAATGTTCGCAACTATGTTTAAGTAATTTGTACTATAAAATGTCACTTCACACTTTAAAAGTGCATACACTGTACATACTTACACTCTTATATTTAGATATCACATAAATATTTAGCATTAAAACTCACAAAACTGGCATTTACTTCGGATGTATAAATGGACAGTTGTCCCTGTTTCTACAGAATCCGTGAATTTTGACATTTTTACATAATCGTCCTCTCCCCCCACCACCTCCCCTGTTGCTCCAGTTACCGGGACCCGGCCCATTCATTCTAATCCATGGTCCGTTGTTGTTACCACCCCTCCTAAACCCACCCCTGCCGCCACCGCGATTCATATTGAAATTATTAGGCGGGAACATCCCCATATTAGGCGGATTAAAAGGCATTTGAAAGTTGTTATCATTCATCATAGGGTTATTAAAATTATCTGGACCAGGACCAAAAGCAGCGGGATTCAGAGGACCTTGATGCATCATATCAGGCGGTGGTCCCATATTAGGTGGACCCATCATGTTTCCGTTCGGCATCATATTAGGAGGACCGCCAAATACACCCGGTCCGGTTTGAGGGCCAAATCTAGGAGGCATTCCTTGAAAAGCGGACGGAGCGCCATGAGGAAAGTTCTGAAATGGCATCGGCATATTTGTGAAGATTTGTGGTGGCAAGTTTTCTTGCATTGGGGGTGGAGAACCTTTTGGTTCGGGCCAAGGTGTATTTCTTAAGTCCATTTCTTGACTTTCGGCATCTTCTAACGGAATGATGATAGGATCGCTGATCTGGTGATTTTCCGGGACGGGTTCCTCTGGGCTGTCGGGAATTTTCCTTTTGTCGAAGTATAAAGCTTGTAAAACACTTTTCTCACGAGCAAACTGAATGTCTTTTTCTAAACTCTTACAACCAGGAACCGCGAGTGGGTCGGTTTGATCGATAATAAATGGTAACCTCCACATGGTTTGGGGTTCCATTACATCTTCGTTTGGCAATTTTCGAGACATCTGTAAAGCTTCTCTTTCACTAGTCATTTCCATTTTTGCCATGTCCATGAAATTTCTGGTTACATTTACTCTTTCTGTTTCATCTAGTTCGAAATATCGAATTTGGGTCAAATTATTATCATTAAATTTAACGGATTTCTTCGGACCCTTCTTTTTCGTGTACACTAAAGCACCTTTAAGAGTGCCATCTGTTTTAGGTTTCTCTACTTCACTTTCAATTGGTGTTCCTGATCGTTCAACATTCTCTTCTTGGTTTTCTTCTTTTACGTCGGCTGAAGTTTGTTCTGTCTGTAAAGTATCTTGATAAAAATTAGGAGCAGCAATGTTCTTTAAACCAATCGGCGAGGTAACAGGAGATGTTGGTGTTTGAGGTTCTTGTGATATTGTTGGTGATCCTGGCGTCTCTTTTGAAACGCTTGGACGCCGTTTACGCTTTTTCGGTTCCTTTTTCGAAGTTGCTGATGCGGCTAACGCATCCATAAAAATGTCACTCTCTTGCAATACGGGTGCTGTGAACAAAATTTAAATTAACATCTTTGAAATACGGAACACTCTTCTATCAAGTTAGTTTAGTACAGTTAGCAGAGCTCCTCATGTGTTACAAACGTCCTTTAAAAAGGAATGGATTCGGAAAATTCGAAGGATCTATCATGTATAACATCAACAAACTATATAGTTTAATCAGTATTCCAAATGAATTCTATCGTCACAATAAAGAGAATGAACTTTATTGTTTACCAAACTTGACTATTACTCAGGCAGATTGTTATGACACTATTCAGCGATGCTAATAAATGCGTTCAGATCTAATCAAAATTTTCGTTAAATTTTACATCTTTTTTTTAAAGGTTACGTAATATTTCAAATTTGTTTGCTTTTCTAAAATGAAATCGCTACTTTGTAGCTGGCTAGCTTTCAAATTCTTTTGTTCATCATTAGTGTTCAAATTTTCATTAATTTTTTCCAGTTTCAATTATATCTTAGACAACTAATCTATATAAACACGTATTAAATTTCATACATGGTATTATTTCGTTAAATAATTTCACCGTCAACATAGTTGACTGTACTAAGAAACATTATAAAACTCCACTCCCGCGAACCAATACTTTCTCCTTACGCAAGCGCAAGGAACTTATATCTACGTTTTGTCTTCATGTACACCTTCAGTAACATGAATTCGTCAAAATTATCAGTACTTTTTGTTTAGATTACTGTTGTATACATTGTGTAGTCTTGAAGTTTACAGACTTTCCTATACTTACGCAAGTAACCTTCGGTACCTTCTTTAGGAAGAATGATGACCGCGGAAGCGAGGAAAAATGCCGTAAACTTCAAAAATGATCAAGCTGCTTGTTGACAACTGCAAAAAAAACTTTCCTCTAAAATTAATATGAGAAAAATTGTTACAAGTAACTACTTGAATGTTAATATTACATCATCCAATGGCAATGCCGTTAATGGTGGACCTATCATCATACCCCATCGCATAGAGCAACTGGTATACTTAAGTTGCGCACATTCGATCTACGCACTTTATGTACGCTTTTCTTGGTAATTTTGGTGTTAGCGTAGGATAAGCCCTTTGCTATTATCATTGTTTCAAATGTCAGTTACTGCACATCTTTGAGTTCTATTTCAGTCACTTTCATATGTACTGGGCACGTATTTTTCAGTTTCTGGTTATAAAAGCAAGCTTTTTTTAATTTCCTTGATCGTCACTGCACCAAATTCTTTGCACCCTATTTTTGTAACATGCAATTTATGTTGCTCAGGAAGGAAAGGGCCTGCCTATATACCTTAATATTTGATAGGTCTTTTTATTTATTATATTAAAGTTTTTACATGATAAAATTACAAGTTAAACTTACCACACGGCGCACTTAACTGCAAAAAATAAATTGTATTTTACAGTACAGTAAATAAAACACGACGCACTAGCCTTCTGTAACACTCAGGACGAATTTTGATAAATCAGAAAATGTATTTGTTAATGCTATACAAATTGTTCATTAAACAACGTAAAAAAATGCACGCAAAAATCACTGACACCCCACTTCCCATTTAAGCAATTTTTCGTGCATTTTTAACACGAAGCTAACTGTAATTGAGAAAATATAATAAAAACAAAAAATCGGGTCAACACTTGGGGAGCTCTGCCATTTCCTGTAAGGTCAGTCAGCAAAGAAGAAAAACAGCTTTCTGCCCAAAGGCCGTCTGCCAAACTTCCAAATTGCCACAAACCTCCACACAAAACCTGTAAAACAGAAAAACCCAATAAGTAGCAGTATTTGTTAAACTTACGTTTTGGTTTTGGAGGTATCAACTTGATAGCTCCTGGCCTTTCTGGTATTTCAATTTTGAATTTCTTTTCTGGCGGTACTGGCAAATCTTTAACTGGGGAAGGTCTCTTTTGTGGGATCGTTGGCAGCGTAACAGTAGGCTTCTTTGTAGGTCTTGGAGGTGGGGGCTTTGCTTCTTCTTCTAAACCAGTTGATCGACGTTTCGAATGAAATACTTTCACTGTTTTGGGTCTATCTTCTGGACTTTTCCGTACTTCAATAGACATTGTTGGTTTTTTTACTTCTTTTTCTTTCGTTTTATCATCAGTCTTTTTCGGAATTCTACCTAATTTATCAATACTTTGTGGTTTTAATTTGGCGAGAGTATCTTTATCTTTCTCCGCTTGTTTTTCTTTTTGTTCAGTTTTATCTTTATGATTACTACCAGTGCTAGTTTTTACCCCATTTGCTTTGTGCCGATCTTTTTTCTCTTTTTCTCGTTCTCTATCTTTTTCTTTATCCCTACTACTACTCTTTGAACTACTAGAACTACTCGATTTATGCCGATCTTTATTGCTGCTACTACTACTACTACTGCTGCCGCTCTTTGAACGACTTGACGAACTACTATTACTACTATGTTTTGAAGAACTAGAACGACTCTTAGATTTATTTTTATCATTAGTTTTGTTTTTGTCATCAAATTTCTTTTCTTTTGTTTCTTTTTTAATATCTACAGACTCAATCAATTCTGCAGCCACCTCTGCAGTTGTAGATTCTTCAGTAGAACTTTCAACCGAGGCAGTTCTACTGATCACCTGTTTACCATCTCGTACTGTAACCTTATAAAAAGTATTTGCAGGAATTGCTTGATTCTCTGAATCATCTGAAGTATTAATTTGAGAGCTGTCTACAGTATCATTATTTATTTCACTAACTGCCACTGTTTCAGCCACCTCTACATGTTCAGTCTTTTCTGGTTCGATAATTTGGGTTTTTGGGACCTCTTCAACCTTAGTATTACCTTTGACTATTACCAACCAATCGTGAACAAGCTGTGTCGACAAATCTTGAACTCCTAAATAAACGAAAAACAAAATAAATCACTTTTGCCTAATAAGCGCAATATCTATACTGTCTTACCTTTAACTTCATCAAGTCTCGATAAACTTTTTACCAATTTAGGAATGTTATTTGATTTCAACCTTTCGACATCAACAGGAGTAATTAATAGTAGGCTTAAAATTTCTTTTACAAGATCCCAATTTGAAATATGTATTGCATCTTGCAACCAAGTATGGATTAAATTCCACCCACCTTCGGCCATAAATAAATTGACTAAAGACTGTTCCGTATTCTTTAGTATCAAGATGTATACACATTTACTGACTAATTTTTTTGAAAATTTAGTCATTAGGCTGCAAGAAAAAATGCTATTCTCTGCGTTTGTATAAGGAAAAAAAATTACTTACTTGACCAGACGTGGGACTTCATCTCGTGAAAGAATGCCTCCCTCTGGGCTTAAGAGAACTGACAAACACTTCAGCAGCTGCAGTGGATCAATACGCGGCTGTAACAGAAAAAACAATCTTACTCAAATGTCAAAGTCATTCTGTCAAAATTTAAAAAAAAAATGCAAGTCGATTCGTGATGACATCATAAACATGGCGGCCACCTAATGAACTAAAATAGAAACAAAAAACCAGTCCAACATGAAAAACCTACTTTACAATACCTTAAACTACAGAAATGTGAATATTATGAAAACACATTTTATATTAAACAACTTTTATTACGTACAGATTATGTAACATCTTACCATTTTCACATCTCCCAGTGTGGCACTAGTACAAAAACACTAAAATCGTCCAAAATCAAACAAATTCTTCTCAAATAATTGCAGCATGTCACTAGTGTTCGGTAAATTAACCAGAAAAACTAGCAAGCTATCCTGGCCGAGACAACGCCCTGTCCTCCATTACGTGTACGTGTACCATACGATGTAACAAAACCGTTCTTATAAATATGAATTCGTTTAAAACAACTTATCTGATTATTCAATGCGATTTACGCAAATAGTTCAATTGAATTTTAAGTAAATTACGTCAAATTCTTAAATAAATGTAATTTTTTCACTAAAGAAATGCAAGCTAAACGTTTTCTACCATGATTTCAGCGGAAATGAATCGATTTTCAACCCGAAACGAATCCACAACCGCGTAGATAAAGACAAGAATAAATAAAATGGCGGACATTTGGCATCCTGCGCATGCCCACTCGATTATTTCTGCAATTTTCTTCCCTATTTCCACATCTTTTTCATGGAACAAAGAGAAAATTCTTATTAGAATTATTCGTACGTATTATTTTGTAGAAATCTGCGTCCACGTAAACATTCAAAATTGAATTTCACGTCTTAATGAAAATATTCAGCTCACAAATTATACACCGTTGCAAATCAACACTTAAGAGGTAAATTCCCTAAATTACTACCGGTATTGTGACTGTAGCAGGAGTTGTTGTGTTGGTAACTTGGTATTACGGGAAATGGTAACGACAGATTTATGGCGCCGTATTTAAAAATAATTTATTACAAAAGGAACATGTTTTTCTGTTAAACAAAACATATTTGAGGCAGGTAAATAAAACAAATTAGTTTTTCTCACTGTATAACTTTGTTCATTCATCGAAATTTTAGGAAAAATCCCCTATAACATGAAATGAAATATATTTTTTAATTGTTGATAAGGTGACGGTAAGAAGATTTATGCTACATTATAGAAAACACAATTAATGTATTGTTAATACGAAGCTCTAATTCGACATGCTATGTAAATTTTGATAAAAGTACATAATTTTTTAATGAAAATGTCAAACGTCATATCGTCATACCGTATATAACCTCAACATGTGTTCCACGTTAGTTGTCAGAAATTTTCTCCAGAAAACATTTTGGACTCGAGCGTTAACTACATCAGCAACACTGAAAAATAATCAGGAAACTACGAATAAAGAAGAACGTCAACTGGAAGTCCGTGAAATAACCAAAGATAGAACAAAACAGATACCAGTGGAAACCAGCATTAGATATCTTCAAAGTGCAGCTTATCGCCAAACGTACGGAGATCAACCAGTGTGGGTGTTGTATCGAAGAAATCACAAAGGTTCTATTCCACCCAAAAAAACACGAAAAACCTGCATCCGTCAGGGCCAAATATCATGTGGAAACCCTTGTCCTATTTGTCGAGATGAATACTTGGTTTTAAGTGAAAGTAATGTGGAATTATTGAAACAATTCATTTGTCCACATACCGGAAGTATCTTAAGTTATTCAAAAACAGGTTTGTGCCAGCGAAAACATCAGGAATTGTTGATTAACATAAAAAGAGCTTTTGATAGTGGAATGCTCACATTTGACATACCACATAGACATTACGATTATTCAGAGTACTACCCAGAGTTATCACAATAATGGAAGCGACATTTGTTGTGGTGGGAGGAGGTATCGCGGGTGTTAGCTGTGCAGAAACTTTGGCATTTTTAGAACCAGAAGAAAGAATCATCTTAATTAGTGAATCTTCTCTGATTAAAACAGTTACAAATTTGCATGCAATTACACGAACCTTACAGGATTTTGATATCAAAGAAACAGAGTCAAGTTATTTAAGTGCCAAGTACTTAAATGTTACTGTTTTGCATGAAACTTTGTTGGAGATTGATGATGTCAATCATATTGTTTCAACTTCTTCCAACAAAATTAAATATAAATTTTTGTGTTTATGTTTAGGCGCACAGCCTAAGTTGATCCCTCAAGCTGCCGCATTTCCTCAGATTTTAGGAATAAGGGATACAGATTCAGTTGAAACGTTTGTTGAAAAATTACAGAACTCGAAGAAAATTGTGGTTGTTGGGAATGGAGGAATTGCGTCCGAATTAGTTTTCAAGATGCAGAATGTAGAAGTTGACTGGGTCATCCGAGATAAACACATTTCCGCAACATTTGTTGATCCAGGCGCAGCCGAATTTTTCCAATCATCCCTAAGACGACAACGTTCACCAGAAGAACCTGTGACTAAAAGGATGCGGTATAATGAAGATAATCTTAAAAAATCTGGAGCAGCCTTAGGACCTGATTGGTATAAAAATTTAATAATTAGTGGCAGTCAAAACCATGAATCCCATTCACAAATAAAAATACATTATGAAAATGAAATTAATAATGTAACTGCCTTAGAAAACAGCGTATTTCCAATTGAAGTTACATTAACAAATGGCGAAAAAATTACATGTGACATTGTAGTCTCTGCAACTGGGGTACATCCACGAAGTAATTTTGTGACTCAAAATGAATTTAAAAAATCTGAGGATGGCGGAATTCAAATTAATGAATTTATGCAGACCTCGCTTCAGGATATTTACGCAGCTGGTGACTTGTGTAATGCCAGTTGGCCATTAGCCAAACACTGGTTTCAAATGAAATTGTGGACTCAAGCTAGGCAAATGGGATGCTATGCAGCAAAGTGTATGTCAGCTCATTTCCAGAAGGAATCTACACTTCAGGATTTTTGTTTTGAAATGTTTGCACATTCAACCAAATTGTTTGGTTACAAAGTTATTTTATTGGGGCTTTATAATGGACAGAAGTTAGGTACTAATTATGAAATTTTGATAAGGATGTCTAAGGAAACAGAATACATTAAATTTGTTCTTGAGAATAATAGATTGCAAGGGGCCGTTCTTATTGGGGACACAGACTTGGAAGAAATGTGTGAAAATTTAATTTTGAATCAGCTGGATTTATCTCCATATGGTGACGATATCTTAAATCCTAATATTGACATAGAAGATTATTTTGATTAACCATGCTGTAAATTTGGAATTGTAAATAAACCTGCTTAGTTTAAATTAAAGCCTATTTAGTCAAATTTGTTTTCTTTCAATGTAAGTAAATAAATTTGGGTGGAATTTTCGGTACTTTGTTCAATAAAAATTTATTTGTACCAGTCAAAGTGGGACTGACTACAATCTATTTCATTGAAGACAGTATTCTCTATATATTTATTAACATAAAATTCATAATGAATTGCATCATACAATTTTTGAATATATGGCGTTTGAAAGTACTTTTTCAACAATGATAACGCACCCTAAATTAGTTGCCTAAAACCAGTAGTTGCTCTGTTGTTATTTACACATGCGCGTGTTAAATTAAGTTTTTCTTGTAAACTATATATTATTTATTAATTCTCTATAATCTTGTACGAACAATAATAAGGGAAGGTATTTACTCCAGAACCATTTTTTGCACTCAATTTTCAACAACTGATAATTTATGCGTTAACAATAACTTTTTGAGTATGTCTTCTTAAATATTGTACAGAGGATCCCTCATAAAATTCAATAAAAACAAGCAATGGCACGTTATCAGACAATCTGATACATACCGTATTGAAGTAAAATTTATTTGTTAGGAAACTGGAAAAGGTCCGGCCATGCAGGAACCCATTTTGACAGTCTTCAAAATTACCTCAAGCTGAGTAGCAATTAAGTCACAACCACACTATATTTTCCGTCATACTTTGCGAAAAAATTACAGCCTATTACTTACTACATACAATAACTACAGCGTGGATGGTGTTTGTCATACCGCGGATACCATGAGTAATCTAGATGTTAGCTATTTTTAAAATTATTGCATAGGGTGCTGTTAAATCACTTATTAGTTTTGTTTCACATAATACATATTTGTGAATTTGATGCTGAACAGTTAAAATATTTATATATTTTATTTATGTTGGGTGTCGTCTTGAATATGCTTCACTTATTTGTTTGGTTTCCGTTGCACAGTCATCTTATTTAAAGTTCTACATGATACAAGATTGCCCGAAGATTCTTTTTAACATCAGTATTAAAATTAATAGCATTAACGCTCGTAACAAAATACATGTTACGTATTTAGCAGCTCCACGTTACATTTGGACTCAACACTTTTTCTTCTTCTTCAAAATTATTATTGAATCTAGAAAAACATAATATAGACATCTTCAATGTCTCAGTAATTCTTTTAGTTGGGGTTTAATAAGTTACTTAAGTAAGTATAACTATATATTTTATAATTATTATTACAGACGATATACATTTATTTCAAAAACATTAAATATAAAATATAATATACTCATAGGTTTACTGTCTAGCATTTAGAGCTATAGATTTTACACATCTGATATAGAGATAAAAGAGAAATACATTACATAAGAAAAGTTTCGGCTAAAACTAATATTTACACGAATATTAATTTTAGGATTTATTATGAATACTGTTAATAATCAGAAATAAAAATCACAATATTTATGAGCAGCTATATTTTGAAGAGTTATTAGGTTATTACTTAGAAAGACATTTGAGTCTAGTCTCATAATAGTCATAATCATGTACCCTACAATAATTCTCGCACCTTTCGTTTAAACATTTTTATAAATGCAAAATAATGTTGTGATATATTCTAGTTGTGTCAAAGCAGTAATATTATAGTTTTTTAGTGGAAATTACCTCTCCAATTTATCTTATCTTTTTTTTAATTATAGTTTATACCATGGTAGAAGGAGACATGGTATAGGCATACGCATCGGGTGTGACGTCAAGTGGGGTGAAATTAGCGCGAAATTTAAAATACAATTCGTTATCCGACAACTAATTGACGTATTGGACAGAGCAATGACAACTCAAGCTGAAATTCCCTAGACTTCCCTAGCGAAGCTCACAAGAGTCACAAGGTCGTTGATGCCACCTAACGTCACAAATGGATGCGCAGACCATTTTTAAATTGGTACATCGGATGCCTATACCATGTCTCCTTCTACCATGGTTTATACCGTTATTGTACAGTAAAATGAATTTTATAACAGTTTATATAAAACATGCAATTAATCAATTGGAATTGTTTTTCATTTAAACACAACAATAATTAAAATATTTCAACAGTTTGTATATACCTACCTATAATGACTATGGAAATGTGATTAAAATATTGTAGATGTGGGATGAGATATATAAATTTAATGTTGACAGTAATATTATACTGCGTCAAAGTTCCCTCGATGTTTTAGAACTTAGATGATATGAAAATAATTCATAGATATCGAAGTTAATTGAAGTTTCAGTAAAAAGGTTCGTGGATAGCATAACGAAAAATGTTTTAAAAAAATTGGCCCAGTTTTTCTTATAAAGATTTCTTTAAGAAAAAAAAATCGCCCTGACATGCACAGGGTATTGTTACGTTGAGCGGGCGAATAATCGGCGTGGGTTAAAACTTAACAATTTATTTCTTAATAACTCGTATTTACACGACTAACTAATGCAGTGATTATGTACAAAATAACTTCGGGGTAACTTATCTGGACACTCGCTGGACTCGACGTGATGACTTCATGAATGAATCCCTATTCCCGACGGTGGCCTCTATTTAACAGCACGCGGTCCTTCTCGAAACCCTACGTCACCGCTTCTAAACTTCTCCGGTATCCCCTTTCGCGAGTTCCGTTTCCAGGCATTTCTTTAGCGCTCCGTCGCTCAGTCGTATTGAGGATGAATCATCACCGGCGTAATAAGACCAGAGAGTTCTCGACGGCGATAGGCGTCGTACCGGGGCCGCGTAAGGGTGTATTTCGTAACAGTATTGATAGTCACTGTTCAGAAGGTGAGGGAATTGCTATCTGCACTCAACTTTTTTTTTACGTTATGTAATCACTAATCACTTAATCAGTAATAAAGGCGCCCATCAATACACCATGGTGCATTTTCCTGAACAAATTTTATCATTTTCAAAGTAATCTTAAAGTACAACTAAAATTTCAAAGTAAGCAAGTAAGTAAGTCTGTCTGACAACAGACAGACGGACAGAGATGAAAATTGGAAACTGGTGTGTTTTCGTAATTCACGTATTCTAATAAATAAGTAGGTGGATTACCTACATGAAGTCAGACATTCATTAAACTGATCGTATCACAGTACACTTTCCTTACTTATTATTCGAAATGTATATATAGTTTCAGTAGGAAAAACTTCGTGACAATTTGTAAACAGTTGCCTTATTTTTATTTATATAAGGTACTATGTACATAATATTAGTGTTGATCGTTGGTTAAATACCTATAGGTATAATAATATACATATACTTTAATCGATGGAAAAAAATCTAACTTGATTTGTTCTAGCTTTTTGTGCCTTTTATTGTAAATAGTGGTTTATTATTACCGCTTATTATTATAAATTGGATGATCGTGGACCGATAATCGGATGGTGAGAGTCGAGTATTAGGAGATAAACATGTTTCGGAAAAAGGATCAGAATACCACCGTGGATCAGAGTAACAGCTACTGCATAAATAATTGTATTAGGAGAAATAATTATTTGATTTAATAAGTAATAATAATTCTGTATACCCAATGATACGGTGTTGATTTGTTTATTCGAGTGTGACAGTTACGTTACGTACATACATAACGACTACGGAAAACGAAAAAGGGTAACTACTGCCTTCCGCGAATTGTGAACATCCCCTAACACCACCTAACACTGTTTTGGAAACGACACCAAAAGCACTTACACCAAGGTAGCTTTATTGGTTTTAATTTAATTATTGAATTAACAACTGCGAAAAAATACTTTGTAACTCAAGAAACATGATGAATAGGCTTAAATAAATAGTTTGTGGTAAGTTTTATAAAAATAATGACAAAATATCCATGTTGATTAAGACGGGTGTTTTAGGATCACGCAATGTAGGACATTATTAGTTTAGTTTAGTTTGTTGTTGAAATAGCAGTAACGATTGTTATCTACGTAAACATTTGACGATGCCACCAAAGAAGAAGCGTGGGGGACAAAATCAAGTCACTTTTGTAGTGAGTAAAATGTCAACTAGATCTGGTAAAAAGACCAGTGCAAGCATAGAAAAGAGTAAGATAATCACAAAAGTAACACCAATGCCTAAATCGGCCCCGAAGACATCAGCAAAAAAAGCGAAATCTGCTGCTAAGTCTAGAGCTAAGAAAAGTGTACCAAAAAAGCAAAAGAATGAGGTTAAGTCCTCAGACTCGATTCATGTTAACAATCCTGAAATTGAAGAAATGCTCTCTGAATTTGAAAGAGATGATGACACGCCGAGAACGGAACCAATTGAACAAGTATTTCTGAAAATGGAAGATGGATATATGGATGCAACGGATGTAGAAAACTCAGAAACTGAAGCTTGTGAAATTACCGAACAATTAGAGAATCTTAATGTAGAAGAGTGTTCATTTAGCGTTGGCGTGGAGTGTGTAGATGAATCAAACATTAATGAAAGTACTGCTGAAGAAAATTTAGAAGAGGAAGTTGTAGAAATTGATGCTTGTGAGGATTTTGCTGTTGAATATATCACAGAGGAGTTTGTACCAGTTGTCGAAAATACAGAAGTCATAATTGATGATGAAAGCCAAACAAGTATTATTTTGGATAAAGATGCGTGTGAAAATGAAAAGAGTGAGGAGGGTGGTGTAAATGCAGTAAAACAAGATGAAGAAAAAATCAAAGAGATTGATGGAGAACCTATGCAAGAAGAGATGACCATGGAAGAAGTAAAAACTGATGATGAAAAAGATGTAAAATTAGAAAACACACAAGAGCAATATCCTGAGGAAGTTGATAAACCAGAAATTGCAAAATCTAAAAAGAAGCCCATCAAAAAGGACAAAGAAACTAAAAAGAATCCACCAAAAAAGAAACCAAAACCTAAACAGCCCCTTAAAAAGGAACCCAGTGCTAAAACAGAAGAAGTACGTCGTTCTAGTAGGATCAAGTCAATTAGTGATTCAAAGCAACGGTCTAAAGGTCACGGTTTAGTTAAGTCAGTGAAAACTATATCAGAACCAGAAACTATAGAAACTGCAAATGCATCAAATCCTGATAATGAAAAATCTTCAGATTCTACAACCACATCTTCTACTAATGAAATCGATAACAAACCAGTTAAAGTGAAGTCGCGCTGGAGGCGTTCGAGTGAGTTGGAGATGAATGTTTTAACTCCTGCTGCAGTAGTACTGGAAACTTGTGGAGACAGTGAAAAAATTGCTGAGGCTAATAATATGTTAGAAAATAAACAGAAAGTAGCAAATGTTGACGAAGAAGTTGAAACCCGCTTGAAACAATTTGTACATTTAAAGGAAAATCTTTATTTAACTGATCGAATGGGCTGCAAAGAAGCAAAGAAAATGACATGTGACTGTTTTCTAACACCAGAAGATACTGAAAAAGGTGAATGGGGATGTGGTGAAGATTGCTTAAACCGATTGTTGATGATTGAATGGTAAGAATATTTATTTTGTTGCTATTTGTTTTATTTATATATCATTTTCAGTGGAAATTTATGCCCTGTTGGAGACAGATGTACCAATAAGAAATTTCAGAAGTCACAATTTGCTCCAGTTGAAGTTTTTAAAACAGAAAAGAAGGGGTTGGGGTTACGAGCTGCAGCTAACATTCCATAGTAAGTTTAAAACAAAGTAGACTATCTGTGGATTATTTGCGTTTATTTAATATTTTAATTAATTATTTGTCTTACAAATGACATGTAATAAATTATGGTAATCATTTCAAAAGTAGTGATGAGGTAATTTATAAACAAAATTTTCTTGTGTAATGACAAAAGCCAATAGCAACTGCATATGATAATTTAAAGCTTTATTTTCTGCTAACTAAATTGCGAAATTCGTTGTGATGGCAACATTATCAAGTTTTCTAAAAGGAATCTATTCAGAGAAAATTGTGTAAGAGTGGTGGGTTGCATTTAGCTTTTTTTATAACCCATTCATAGTTTCGTCCATGAGGGGTTCAGAGCTAAAGTGGACCAAGTCCAAAAATAATAATTTTTGAGTTACACTTATCAAGTAATTGTCGAAGATTTATACTTTTCAATTCTATAATAATTAAATTAATCCAATTTTAAAATATTAACCCATGTTATGGGAACATTGTCTTTATGCCGTGAATTGTGATAATTCTTTGTATTTTTATCCTTCGTCCTGTAAATCTAGACAAGTAAAACATGTAGGGCTTGTGGCTGTACATTCGTCCAGTTATTTTTATAATTATTTTAATAACTTACCACAAACAACTTCCATCAGAAAAACGTCTGTAAAACAACCAGTTGAAATGGCAGAAATAATTTATAGTGAAACAACACACCAGTATATAACTAAGGGTATCTCATACAACTGTTATAAAATTGTGTTGATAACAGATGTAACTTAAGTTTTAGGCCGTTTTTTATTCGTTAAAAAAGCGGAGCAACATATCAAAACGATTTAATTACCAACATTTTTGTAACCTTTTATTTATATTACACTAATAAGTGTAATATATCCATTGCTGGACGGTATTAGATCAAATGCCTGGCACACCATACTAAAATTTTATCATCAAACTTTTTTTTGCTTCATATTTCACATGATCGGGACAGTTCTCTATATCATCAGTGTAAAATACCTCAATACCCTTGATTTCTGATTGGGTAATGTGAAATATTTTTGATCTTTGGTGATGATTCCTGTGTTGTTAATGTTTTTGGCACTACTTCCTTTACGATACTTCAGACCTTTTCTTTTAAGTTTTCGACTGATAAATGACTACCAACCAAAAAGCGTTTATGAATAATTTGGCAAAAGTCGAAAATTGTCCTAAAACTTAAATTATATACATTATTTAAAAATAACACGGTTTAATGTTAATTTGTTATATATTACATCAAAATTTATTCAAAATATTCACTGCAAAAATGAACCAAGTCCAGCATTGAAAGAGTGAATGGTATTTCAAACAAGAGTTAAGTTAATGTGTCGTCTAAAAGTGCAACTAAACCTTAAGTTATGAGTCCTGTAAAAGATTACTACAGCAAAAAAAAAACATGCGAATTAATTATAAATTAAAATAATTATAATACGTTTATTTTGAATTTGGTTTGCGTTGACATGGTTCGCTTCTGCTCTGATCTCCTCATATATGAGTTCAAATAAAAGTTTAAAAGGGAAGTTAAACGTTTCTGGGTTACGTAATATTGTCGTCATACCAATGAATATCAGTAGGTTAACTAATGGAAAATGAGTCTCTAATTTTCTTACAGGATTATGTTTGTTTATTTTTTCCATATTGTATATAGAGACCAATATTTCTAGATGGTGCTTATAAACTATTTCATTAATTATTATTATCGCAATAATGTATAACAGAAAATACATAAAACTATCGTCACTGTTTCAGTTTTCAATTTTAAATTCAAGATTGTCCGTCTGGCAATGAAAAAGTTTTTAACCTTGCTACATTTTTGGCATAGTTGATTATATGATGGTACATATTCACTAAAATATTAGTACAGTTGATATACACTCACCGGCACGAAAAACGGGCCACCCGTATTTTTTTGTTTTGTTTTAAAAGATTCGAAAATGTGCAAAATAAAGTACGATTGCGGTTGCAATACTTTGATGTTGTTATGCAACGTTTATTGTAATACTTTTATCCAAAAATCAAACAAAGCTGAAAAAAAATTAAAGATTCCAAAAAAGCGAAATCAATGATCATTGACCACACTGTTAATGGACGTCAATAACGGGTATTTCCCCCACGAACCTGTAAGACTGCTGCCATTCTCCAGGGATCCCATGAAATAAATTGTTTATTTATTCTTGTTGAATATTCTCTCATTCCTTTCAAAGCATATTTTGAAGCTCATCTAAAGTGTGGGGTGCAGGTACACTCAATTAATATGCTGGTCAAGAAACAACATCAAAAATAAGCGTAGTAAAAACGTCAAAGCACTGTGCTCAGAAAAATATTAGCTGGCCCGTTTTCCATGCCGGTGAGGGTACAATCAGTTCTCTCTATTTTCAAGAAGATGTTTTTCTTTTTGCTATTCTTATTGGCTTTGTTTTTTTTTTGATATTTTTCTGAAAATTTCTTATTTTTTTATATGTTGTATAATTAATATCGTATTCATGTTCGTGCTTAGTGGCGAATTCATCTTAGAGTATGTAGGAGAAGTACTAGACCACGATGAATTTGATGCACGTGCTGATGATTACTCAAATGACAAAAATAAGCACTATTACTTCATGTCTTTACGTGCCGACGCTATCATAGATGCAACAATGAAGGGTATGTGATATATTTTAGAAAAATATAATTTCCAAATTATATATTTATAGGAAACATATCTCGTTTCATCAATCATTCTTGCGATCCAAATGCAGAAACACAAAAGTGGACAGTTAATGGTGAATTAAGAATAGGGTTTTTCAGTACGAGAACAATTTTAGCTGGTGAAGAAATTACTTTCGATTATAGATTTCAGCGCTATGGGTAAACACACTTTGTAAGCTATATACAATTCTGATGTAACTTTGATTTCATATTTTTAGAAAAGAAGCTCAAAAATGTTACTGTGAAGCTTCAATATGTCGTGGTTGGTTAGGTGAAGAACCAGATGATGAAGACGACGAAGATGAGGAAGAAGAAGAAGAAGAAGAGGAGGAGGAGGAGGAAGTGGAAGCTGAAGAAACCGAAATACCTGTTAAAGAAAAAATTGAAGAAAAGCCGGAGGAGACGGTTGAGAGGCTAGAGACGGAAGTTAAGCAACCTGAAGAGGTGGTGGAAATTCGAAAGAGCCCAGAAAAAGAAAAGAAAAAACGATCACCAAGAAAGAAACCGAGAAAGGATCTGTTTGAAGATTTAGATGTTGGTTACAAGATTTGTGATTATATGTTTTATTTATATTTTACTTTTTAGCAATTGGTTGAAGAAATTGAAATGTTGGTAACAACAGGACTCAAAAATCAGGCCCATACTTTGAAATTGAGCAGATTAATGGTAAGAGCAAAAGAACCAGCTCAAAGAGCGAAACTGCTGAGAGTACTTAGACGGGGAGAATTGCCCTGCAGACGATTGTTTTTGGATTACCATGGATTGAGATTAATGCATGGTTATATGACTGACGCACAAGATTTGGCGAAAAACGACAAAAAATTCGAATCTCTGAGATTAGAATTATTGCAAACGTTAGCCACACTTCCTATTCCTAATAAGACGATGCTACAAGATAGTAAAGTTTTACCAACAGTTGAAAAATGGTCTTCCGTTAAAGGAGTTGATCTAGATTCTGACAGTTCCTCCCCTCAAACCGATCAAGATCCCAGTCAGACTCCTACAGATGAAGACAAAAAAGACAGTCTCATGAAAGAACTGCAGACACAAGATGAAACAAAGAAGGAAATTAAAACTGAAGATGAAACAGAAATAAGAAAGTCTGCGGGAATGGATTTTAAAGGCAACGCGAATAGTAGCGGTTTTTCAAATACTCGTGGTAAAGAATTAGCAGATGAAATTTCTGGTTCATTTCAAGAAGACATGGACGAATCTCCTATTCCTGTAGATAGTAAATCAGCTAAGCCAGTTTCGGAAACGAAAACACCCGTAGATGAATTAAACTACGAAGAAGAAATAACAGCATTGGCTTTAAAGTTATTGGAGGAGTGGTCAAATTTAAAAGAAGTATTCAAGATACCAAAGAAAGAAAGAATTGAACAGATGAAAGAGCACGAACGGGAAGCAAATCGTGGTTACATCGCCGGGTTAGGTTTGGAACAAGATGCTGAAAAGAAGAGTGAAAGCCGTTACCGTATTTTAAAACGCTATAGATCTCTTGATAAAAACGATAATTCCATGATGCGGAAAAATATAAAATTAGAGGACAGGAATATGGCGAATTTTCCCAAGCTAGGAAAAATAGAAAGAAGAAAAATGTTTGCTTTACAAGTAGAACAAAGGGAAGAAGAGAGGAGAAGAAAACAGAGAGAAATGTGGAGACAACATGAGCAGCATTGCATTCTTTTGGGTACTGATCCACGATTGACAGCACCGTTTGATCCAAATAGAGGTTACCAGTGTATATGGAATCCGCAAATTGGACAATGGCAGAACTATCCAATTCAAAATCCTAATCTTATTTTTAATGCACAAAACCCACAAGTTTTATCAGGATTGAATATGCAAGCAAATAATCCAAATTTTTCGTATTTGCAAACGAACATACATGGTCCTGGAATGATTCCAGGTACAGTAAATCCAATGCATCCATTACCCAGTCTTCCATATCAGGAAGAATTAAAAAAAGAAGAGGATTATTCCCAAGTCAAGTTTATGGGGCCTATACCGCCACCCGTAAAGTTGCCACCAAAATGGAAATCTGCGAAAGACAAATATGGTAGGCCATATTATTATCATATTAAAATACGAAAGAGCCAGTGGGAACCACCTCCACTTGCACAGCCACAAGAGGAACTGGATGATAGTAAGTATAGCATTAGGCTTCTCCGTTGTGTTACAAAAATGCACAACTATTTTGCAGCGAGTGAGACTACATCAAGTTCAGATACAAGTAGTTTAAGTTCAGATACAACCTCTGATGAATCTGATAGTGATGACGAGGTAGATGATGCGAAATTACTACAAGAAGTGAGAAAACAGATGGAAAAACAGGTCAAAATTTCATTTCCAAAGACAACATCAACACAAGCTAAAACGGAAGAAGTAGAGGCGAGTCCTGTGCAGGAAGAAAAGGAAAGTAAAGATGATAAAATAGAAGTCGATGATGATTGTGACAGTAATGATCAAAAAGAAAGTATATCTTCTGTTGACGCAAGATTAAAAGATATTTTGAAGGATGAGAAAAGTCAGTCATCTAGTAAAAAACGAAGAGTTGGTTTGGTACATGAGATTATTATTAGTGTAAGTATTGTAATAACAAGTGTGAGTTTTTACTACACGTTTTTTTTTCAGCCTAGGACAGAAGAAGATAGGTTACAGTTTAGAGAAGATTTGAAACGTTATAAAATGAATAAAGAAAAAATAAAGAAAGAAAAAGAAATGATTTTGCAACAAGGAAAGAAACATGCTAAAGATAAGCGTCATAAAAGTACAATAAAACTGAAAATGAAAGAAATGACTGATAATAATACTGAAACTGCCAAAAAAATTAAAGAAGCCTTTAGATCTACCATGGCTACCGTTGTTGTTAGCGTTCTTAATGCTTACAGAAAACCAGATTGTAAAGAAGGGCGAATCACTAATACGGATGATTTTAAACATTTAGCAAGAAAGGTAAATGCATTATTTTTGCCCACAGGTACTATTTTTTTTTTAATTTCAGTTAACTCATTTTGTTATGCTGAAGGAAATGAAACATATAGAGAAAATTGAGGATTTAGTGTGTACAGATAATGTTAAGGCTAAAGCAAGGGAGTATATACGAAAATATATGAGTAAATTTGGAGAAAATTATCAAAAGCGAAATGATGAACCAGACTTTTAATTGTTTATAACTAATTGTAATATTTGTCTGTGATAAAGTCATTAGTATCACTTCATTTGTTTCAGAGTGTGTCGTGTGTTTAATGCGTAATTCTCATAATTTTCGTGACGTGTTATATTAAATAACATGGGTTATTGATGTACAAGCTGTGTAATTTATACATTGAAAAATAAAATTGTGATTATGATTGTGACTAATCTGATTTTTTAAATTTAATAAATTTTCATTTTTGTTATTGTCATGTAAATAAGAAGTCAAAAAGGGAAGCGTAAAAAGTACATAATTTTAACTCGAATTTTGTATGTTGACACAATTTTTAAAGATGTGTGCAGTCACGTAATTTGTTAATAAATAAAAAAAAAAATTAAAAAAACCTATTTTTTCTGTTAATAAGTTTCTTCTAAATGAGGGACATTCTAGGCTTCATTCTAAGGCTCTCTCTCTGTTGTAGTGTTTAAAAAATGTAAAACCACTCAGTGCATTGAACATTAGTTTTATTATTCGTCGATTTAAATTTTTACATTAATTAGTCACAGTTAACAAAATAAAAATATAAAACATTTAAAACATACTACACAAGTTACAAATTAAAACTCACAGTTTTTTGACAGTGATTTTTGTTTATATTATGTAATAATGCAGCTTCAAAAGCTTGCAGCGATTTATTGACTCTAGCAAACAACAGATTCAAGTTATTATCACTATCAGAAGGTTGTAAATTGTTTAATGCTTGATAAATTTGGTCTAAGGAGGATAAAACTTCATTCTTACTTAATTTTCGAAATTTGTTTTTAATTTCTGTCCACGTTAAACTTTGTAAAAATTCACCAACGCTTTGAAAATTACCTAGCTTTTTTGAATCTTTGGTCATTAATACTGTTTGCTTCTGATTAACACTGTCTACAATTGTTATCATAGAAGGTGAAATTCTACACTGTAACTTATTTTGGTAACACCATTCAGAAATTTTTTCAACAAATTTACTTTCACTGGTTACTTCTTCAGTTAGAACATCCTCCAATTCTTCCAAAAAATTTGTTTTATATAGTGACAAGTCCACACTTTTGTCTGCACATTCCATTATTCTTACTTTTGATTCTAATTCTTCTCGTCGCTTTTCAGATTCTGCCAATTCTTTTAGTTGCAGTTCTGTGCTTTCCATAAATCTTTGCTTCCAATTGTTTTCAGCAAATAACAATTTTTCTTCAGCCTGTGATAATTTATTCCTTAATTCTTCCAGTTCTTCATTGTTACTAATATTCATGGCAGTGAAAGAAGAATTTAGTAGGGAATGTCGTTCATAATCTTGTTTTAAAGCTTTTAGTCTTTGGACTTCTGATTTTAATTCCCGAATTAAGCGATCATGAGGATTTTCATTTATTCTTGCTCTGTTAACAATTGACCTTGCTTGACATGCATATCTAAGTGTGGCTAGGGTTTCATCCAGATTACTGTTTGCTGGTGTTATTGTGGCCAACATGCAGGTTAATGAGTTTCCTCCTAAACTTTCCTATAAAAATAACTTTTAAAATTTATTAGTAAATAAAAAACAACAGTACCTTTAGCAACCATGTCAGAACTGAGTCTCTGTAAGGCACAAATATGTTTTTCTTGTGGTCTGCTAAAGCAGAAATAACTTTTCCTAAAGTCAGGAGTGATTTGTTAATACTGACTCCTTGTCGAATCTTTTCATCACTGTTATGGGAACTACCTAAGCGTTCGCTTCCCGCCAAATCCACTAAACTAACTTTGCTTCTTCTACTAGTATCACTATCATCCAAACCTTCTGTAAGACTTAATTCAATTGAAAATATACTGTGAGATCGCGATGACTTTTCATTCATTGTAGTCGCAGCGGTAGCTCTGCTTTTATTTCCTAAGATTAACCAATTTCTCAGCTCGTTATATGACTTCACTGTATGAACACTCAAATCCACAACATAAGGACCCCATTCGGGATGTTCTCTTACTTTTAAAGGCAGTTTATTTATCACATTTGGACTGGCAAGTAAATCATGGATCTTCTCATTATAAATTTCAAAATAACTAACTTCTACTGATACTGTAGTATCCGATTTCAAATTTGAAATTCTTTCAAATAGCTCCCGACAAAATCGTGGAGTTAGGCCCGAAAATTCTTCTGAATCTATATCAGCAATTTCACAAGTATTTGCTCCCATCATACTGAAACTTTTCCCTGAACCAGTTTGACCATAAGCAAAAAGGCAAGCGTTGTAGCCTCGAAATGCGCTATTAAGTAAAGGCTTTCCAATAGTCGCAAAAATATCTTTCTGACTTGCATACAATGATTTTGTTTCATCACATGACCAAAATATGTGATCATACTGAAAGACATGGTCGAGACTCATTGATGAATTGCCCAAAGGATTGGAGCGAATAATCAGGTCTTGATTTTTAACTTTTACAACGTCTGCAGAACCCACACATGCAAGTTCCTTTGCATTCATTGGTCGAATTCGTACTGCGACTGTTAAATTACTGACTTGATCGAAGACACCTTTACTACTTCTTCGTTTCACTGGGGCATTATTATTTGGTGTTTCGATTGTCACGGTATTAAAACATTCAGGTGTGCTTACCAAAGAACCAACTGCTTTACTAAATTTTGGAGTGGCAAGCTGACTTCTTGGGGTAGTCGGGACCACAAAGTTTTCCGAATTTTCTAACATTAACGGTGTACGTATCGTCCTCACTCTTTTAGGAGTAGCAAATTGAGTTTTCGGAGTTGTAGGTAAAGGCAATGCCATTTTTAAATTAGTCTACTTAATATATTAATAAAATTATATAAACGTGTTCATATTCAAGTTTTTTAAACCAACCGTTTTCAAAAAATGACAGCCAGATAGCTACTGACAAATGACAGCTGACAGAGATTACGAGAAGAAGAGGGGAGAAAAATTGAAATGCTAATTGGTCGAGGTAACCATAACGTCTCAGTAAGTAGTTAAACATAACGTAGAACGCAATAACGTAATGTTAACACGTAACACACAGAAACGCAACGATATCCATACGCATACAATTAAGGCTAAACGGAAGCGTAAGACCGTCGGCTCTACTCTTAATAACCTAAAAATTTTACATTTTATTTCTGTGTATATAATTATGTATTAATAAAATGGCTTTGGCGTTAACTACAACTTTTACAAAGAGTACAGTTAAGTTCTTAGAAGAAAGATTGTTGCTTCTAACGTAAGTATTGAAATATGTATTTATTCTGTCTGTCTTTTACTCTAATTTATAGAATTTCATGCGGGCCTGTAAGGAACAAATCTAAACAAAATCCAAAACCTAGACTTAGAAATCCCACGTGGTTTACCCAGAAGCATCGTGTTGTAAGTAAAATTTGTTAACTTGTTGTTTCGGTGAGATAATGTGGCCAATTACTTAAGTAAAGCTAGAAAAGCGGTGGCATGGTCATAATGAAAATAAAAACAGTATGTCATTTCATTATAAAATAAAAATGTGATAGTTTGTTACTGATATATTGTTGTTTGTTAATCATATATAGGTAATTCCCAAAACTAACGTTTGTAATTGATACAAAGTGTTATGTACTTCTACAAAAACCAACATTATACCTTGATTAAGAGTGTTCAACATTAAAATTAGATCAATAATTCAGACGTGTAAACATTGAGAAAAACTTAAATAACAGATCTTAATACATAGTTGAAAAAAAATTACATTTTATTCTTGGTACATATTAGAAGATAGAAAAGATGGTTCCTTTTCTATAATGTAAATTTCTCAGCGAGACTTTCATAAAAACCAGTGGCACAAACAACACTCCCGCAGTTTTTTTACTTGAATTTTTTAATTTTTCAATTTTTATTTTTTTTTATTTCTTCAATTTGCAATTTTTCAAGTTTCAAAGTTTAATTTTTCAGATTTTCAGTTTTCCACTTTTAAATTTTACAATTTTTCGATTTGAATTTCTCGAGTTTTCCAGTTTTCGATTTGCAATTTTTCGTTTCGGTTTTTTATTTTGTTTATTTTTTCAATTATTCGATTATTCAATGTTTCGAATTTATAATTTTGTTTTATCGATTTTAATTTTTTCAATTTTTCAATTTGCGATTTTTAATTTTTCATTTTTTTATTTCTTCAATTTTTAAATTTTCAATTTGTTGATTCTTTAATTTTCCATTTCTTCTCATTTTCCATTTAGAATTTGTGGTTTCGGTTTTTTATTCTCTCAAAAAAAATGTTTCATTTTCAGTTTTTCGATTTGCAATTTTTCTGTTTTTCATTTTTTTTTTGTTTCTTCAATTTTGCGACATGCACCTCTTCGAGTTGTCTTTTTTAAATATTTCTCTTTTCCGATTTTCCAACTTTTGAATGTTTTAATTTTTTGATTTCACAATTTTTGGATTTTACAGTCTTTCGATACGATATTCGATTCATTTTTTCTTCTTTCGAACTTTTCAATTCATTAATTTAATAATTGGAATATCGAGGAATTGAAAAATCAAAGATTGAAAATTTGAAAAATTGAATAAACAAAAATTTATAAAATCGAAAGAAACAGTGAAAAAAAAAACAAAATTGTGATCAAAAATTGAAAAAATGTAAATAATCGGGAAAATGAAATATAAAAATAATAACAATATTGGATTCCCAAAGTTTCGGGAAAATGCAGTGAATTGTTCTTTTTTTAATCAGTACAAAAAACTGCCCCATTCATTAATTTTTTTGAGTCATCGGGTATAAGTAATTCTAAAAAGTGGATTGTTAAACTAAAATTATAGAGTCATAATATTTTGCATATTTTACAGAGATTTATTTAGCAAAATTTTGACATGATGTCATCAATTTTTTTGGTGGGGATAAACGAATAAATTTTGATTAACGATTTACCATGATTACGATAACTTTAAAACGTTTGCAAGATTTCAGAGCATTTGGTTTTGCGGTTTCAAAGTTAAATTACAAAATTTGGTTATATAATTTAGATTTTTTTCCAAAAATCTGGATGTCTAAGGTGAAAACTCAATACGGGTTCATATACAATAAGTGCAGGGATTTTAAAGTTTGAAACCCAATAGATTCAAAACAGCACAACAATTTAGTATTATTGTGTAATGTGAAACTTATTAATCTATACTTATATAATAAAGCTGAAGCTGTTGTTTATTTGAACACGCTAATCTCAGAAACTACAGGTTCAAATTCCAAAAATCTTTTTGTGTTGGATAGTCCATGTATCATATCTACATATAGGCTATATAAAATCACGCTACGATCATTAGGAGCGAAGTAGCAATGAAAAATTCGGAAAAACGGGAAAATTATTCCTCCTTTGACAGCTTCCGTTGCTTACGCTGCTTAAACGGTTAAAGTTACGTAAAAATCATGTATGACGAAATTGTTCCCCTCTAAAAGTTCTAAAGAAAAGTCCGCGACAGCATATGTGTATCTTTTAAGGTCGAGTCAGTATAACCTTTTTTATGGTAATGAAATTTGTTCTAAAATAATAATGCATTATGTATAAAATTCTCGCGTCACAATGTTTGTAACCGAACTTCTCCGAAATGGGTAGACCGATTTGTATGAAATTTTTTATGTCTATTCGGTAGGTCTGACAATAGGTTGTAAACTATTTTTTAAACCCCTAAGTGACAAGGGTGGCCCACCCTAAAAAATTGTCTATTTTTTTGACAAATTTTTTTATTTTTATTTTTCTAAGATTTGGCATCAAAAAATACACATAACCCTAAATTTTCACCTTTCTACCACCAACCCCCATTTATTAATCATCTATAAAATAAAAATCAATTGCTGTTCCTATTAGTCTCGCCAAGACTCAAAAACGGCTTGACCGATTTGAAGAAATTTTTATATTACGGGGATTGTTTATAAATTAAAAAAATAGGGGAAACTTAAAAGAACAGCTAAAAAATCAAAAAATCCTAAACATTTTGTATGGGAATCGCCACTTCAAATTAATTTCAATGGTTGCCGTCTAACTGACGTGTCATACAAAACTAATTCTATCGTGCGATTGTGAAAAGTATATTGCATTTCAAATCGTTCTTTGTTTTTTCGTAAAAAAACGGATATGAAAGTTGATCAGCGTTGTGCTCATAATCAACATAATAGTCAAACATTGAAGCGAGACATTGGGTGGTATGAATAAAACTGAGTAGATACTTATATTCGAAGTACGAAGTACCTACTTCATTATTACTCTTATATACCTGAACATCTACTCTATGTACTGAGTACCTACTGGGAAACATTGTATCTCCCCGGCCACAAACTGAACATCTACGCGTTTTGTGAGCATTTAATCTAGAAATGAGCATCGGCGTGGCAAATAACTGAGCTGTCTGTAAAGTAGCTTAGAAAACCAGTAGGATCGTTTAAGAGTGAATTTTAACTAAACATGGTTACTTTCATGAATGTGGAACGTCGTCAAAAGATGCATTCAGTTTGAAAAACACATTAGGAGCAGGAATATCGAAAACTTTTCATGTAATTAACTTTTATTTATGCATAAATTGTGCAGTGCGTTTTTTCTAACACTGGCCATAGAGATTCCCATCTCAAGGTGTCTACCCCATACTAACTTATATTTTGGTGACTCGATTTTTGCCTTGATGGTTGAACACTGTCATTGTTGTCCTTTTTTGTTGTATCGAGATGCTACTTGAGCATCAACTGTTACTGAAGTATTAGTATCATCTAGAAAAACTAGAAATATTTTGATTTGATATTCGAGTAGATACTTCGTATTTCGAGTATGAGCATCTACTGAGTTTTATTTATATCAACCATTGTAAAAAAATTGATCGAACGTTGTTTCGACAGAACTTCCTTCGCACCAAAAGTATAATGAAACATATTCAGCATTTTCGAGTTGAGTCTTTTCTTCACACAATTTTGTGATGACCTAATCAACATTTACTATCAACACGTAGGTATACCACCTTGGATTGGTGCAGTGTAATACTAAAAATAACTGTATTGTATTCCCAAAATTATCTGCGAAAATCGAGTGAGCCATTCCATCAATTTTTTGGGGGGAATAAATAAATATTCTTAACAATTTACCATGCCTACAATAACTTTAACACGTCTGCAAGATCTCAGAGTATTCATTTTTGCAACTCTTGAGTTATTCACTAAAATAAATTGACTGATCCATATATTTTTTTGAGTCACTGTAAAAGCAAATCTAAAAAATATGAATGCAGTGATAAATTACGAAAATATACTGATGATATTTTCCACATTTTAGATATGATTTATTCGGCAAAATCTTGAGATGACGTCTTCAAGTTTTTGGGCTTGATAAACAAATATATTTTGATTGAAAACCTACCATGTCAAACGGTAACTTCAAAACGTCTGCAATATTTCAAAATTCAGTTTTGCAATTCTTGATTCAATCAATAAAATAAATTGACTCAGTGATTATTTTTTTTTTGAGACACCCCCTATAAGCAAAACTAAAAAATATGAATGGAATGATAAATCACAAGTATAGTCTCATCCTATTTTGGACATTTTAGATAGGATTCATTTGGCAAAAGTTTGGGTTGACGCCATCAATTTTTTGGAGGGGATAAGTAAATATATTTTGAATAAAAATGTATTATGCTTATCATATGTTTAAAACATCTGCAAGATTTCAAAGCATTCGATTTTGCAGATTCAAAATTAAATTGTAGGTGAAACGGAGTTCACGGGGTCAGCTAGTTAATAATAACACACAAAGAGTGGACAAACAAACTTAGTAATTAATTTAAACAAAAATAAATATATAATTCTGGAAAAGGCCTATTATGTGTATTATTTTCCTAATGCCATATGTTAAGCCCTTCTTTCTGCTGATTGTGATCGTTTTTTGAATGGTTTTAATTTATACTACTGTAGTATTTAGCATTTCCCACAAGATGGTAGTCTTATCTCAATTTGATAAAAAAATGGACTTTGATCGTTATTCCCGTGTACCCTTCACATGATATTCCAGTAGTTTCGGAAATTATCTGTCTAATAAAAGGGCAGACGTCAGAGAGGCAGACAGACAGACGGAAACAGGAGACCTGTTCCTTCGTAGTCTAGAGGTCATGATACGTCGAGAAAACATAAAAGTAGGGAGTCAGCCGATGAATTCGATTACAGTACTTCTTTAGCTCACGCTCAGCAAGTAGAAAAAAACATTGTACATGTTTTTCTAGAATTGTGTGAATAGTGACAAATATTTCTACAGAAAAACTCGTTTTTTGTTTATTTTTTTACACAAAGCCGTTTGGCGAATGGCTAATTTCCTGTTTTCTTGACATTTTAGAAAAAATAGATCGCCCGTTTCCGTCTCTCTGTCGTCTTTTGGAAAGTTACTGACTACCCTGAAATCTTGCAAACGGTAAACATGGTAAATTCATAAACAAAATGTAACTGTTTGTGCCTTTCAAAAACTTGATGACGCCGTCTCAAAGAATATCTTGAGTTTATACTTGCAGTTTATCAATGTATTAAATTTTAAATTTACAATTATTAGTTTTTATGGGTAGCCATTTATAATTTTGCACACGAAAGTATCATTTACACAAATCAGTATTCTTTAATCCTTCATCCTATTTTTTTGCCTCTGTTTGACATCATTACTTGGCGTCATATGAATTGGCATGTTAATTTCTTGCAAGTTAATAGAATACCTATAATATTGTTTTGTATACAATGCTTTACGTACTGTATTTAAAGTCTTCAGATGACAATGTTACTTTGGAAAACAAGGAATTTCTCAAAGAAGTAGTGCAAGATCGCTATTTCAATGTCGACAACGAGATATCGAAGGATTTAGCAAGTAACGTTATTTGGCGACCAGGCTTACAGAGAACAGGAGTAATGGCACGGAAAATTGGAATCTATCCTATGTGGTTAAAAACAGGAAAAAAGATATCAACTACGCTGCTACAAGTGTTAGATAATCATGTTATTAAATATTATCCTCCAGAAGATTATGATCCTCAAGTAAAGAGAGTTGGAAGGATTTATAATAGAAAAGGATGTCTACTTTTGGGAGCGGAAGGTGCTGATCCTTCAACTTTTACACGAGAATATTGTGGATTGTTTAAAGACTCAGGTGTAATTCCAAAGAGACATTTAGCAAGATTTTTTGTCAGCCCGGATGCAGTACTACCTGCAGGAACATTGATATCTGCGTTACATTTTCAGGCAGGCAATTATGTTGATGTGAGAGGTTTAACGTATGTTTTGCTTTGCAGGATTTTCCATAATAAATAAAAATATATATGTTTTAGGATAGATCGAGGTTTTCAAGGTGTCATGAAGCGTCATGGATTTAAAGGAATGCCTGCTTCTCATGGTGTTACAAAAACACATCGTCGTGGTGGTAACATTGGAGGTGGTGGAGAAAAAGGGCGAGTTTGGCCTGGAACAAAAATGCCGGGTCATATGGGCAATCGCTATCGAATACTTAGAGGACTTAAAATATGGAGGATTAATACTAAGTACAATGTTTTGTTTGTCTCTGGGCAAAATATACCAGGAGCGACTAATTCGATAGTGTACATTTATGATACAAAACTCCCTGCTAGGAAACCTGCAGAACCTTTACCATTTCCAACCTATATTGGAACAGGAGAAGAATTGTCAGAGAACATCTTTGACAAAGAAATCCATGAGTTTAGTGAACCAACGATTGTATATAGTGATAAAAATTGATTTATGAATATGAATAGATAGATTAAACTTAATGGTAATTTTATTTTATACAAATTACATAGAAAAATTTTGTAGCAAAAATTAAAATGGACGCTGAGCTAATTTTATTGCTCATTTATCACATGCTTTCTTATTGTTGCCGCAGCAGGTTTACATCGTTTCATTTTTTATATGGTTAGTGAAAAGTGTACAAGTCTTTGGTTGTGACCAACTGTTAAAGTTTGAATCAGTGTTATTGCATTATAAGTTATACTCATTCTTTAAAATTTATTGACATCGTGTAGTAACCCAAACATCCCGCCAAAATTAAGGAGTACACAATTAAATTCAAAATTTAACCTTGTACCGTGATCGTCAATGAAACAGAACCCTACATTGTGCGTTTGTTTTTTTAACCCCCGGCGCAAAAATATGGGTGTTATAACTTTGACTCCTTTATCTCTACGTGTGATGATAATTTCTGTTACAATATCAAGTCATTCTGTCAGTAATCCTTCGTTTAGGAATTGATAGAATAGGAATTAGTGTGTCGAGTGATTTTTAAGAATGAAGAAAATTACAATGCATGGTGTGATTCAGTTCCTCGTTTTGGACGGGAAAACTACGAAAGAAATCCATGAAAAGATTTCGACATATTTTCTTATAAAGTAATGCGTCTTTGGGTTAATAAGTTCAAGCGCGGGAGAAGACGCACCACGTCCCGGAGGTCCAAAAATTGACGTCATCCTAGAAATCATTGACAGGATATGGTTTTGGCCGATGGACGAATGAAAGTGTGAGAGTTAGCTGAAGCTAGCATCGCAACTGAGAGTTCAGTTTATGAATTCCAGGTGCAAAAAGGGGGGTGTTATAAGTTATAACTTTAGACACTTTGTCTCCGTAGCTCCCAAACGAATGAACCCAGTGTTTTTTTTTTTTTTTTTGTTTAAAAGCTGGTTTAATCGGTATGGTTCTTGGATACGTTTGATGATAATCACTTCAAACTTTAACCATTTCAACATCATCAGTTCATAGAACATCTAACACCTTTGGTGTAGGAATCAACTATGTTCCCGTCAAGGTGGGGATAACGCGTCAACCGTCGCAACGAATCTTAACCAATGGAACACTTTTTAAGGGCTCATTGTCGGGGGTTTTTAAGTATTAATTAATACTTGTTGTTTGGCGGAATCATGGAGCTAGAAACAATACTGCAAACAAAACTCAGGCGGCAGCTCTTTGTGCAGGTGGCTGCCTGGCTGCAAGTCATAAATTAATGGAACCACCGGAAGTGGCTAATTTTGTATTTTGCACAATTTTGAGATCATACGTGTCAACAAACAGTTAGTCGAAGACGAAATCGTATTTTTGTAATAACCAAATTAAAAACAAATTTTATTTTCCGTTACATTTAGGCCAGAAGGGGTCCCTTAACTTCGGGGGCCTGATGGTCCAGCACAGAGGCGGCTTGTCTTATGAGGCAGGTGAGGCAATGCCTCACCAATGAATTTTAAGCCTTATGAGGGTTTTTATTATTTTTTACCGATATATTTCGGCTAATAATTTGTATTTTTTTTTCTAAAATTTTAAAAATATGGAAAATTATATTGTTATTCTTATCTAGGTAGGTACTCGCTGCTCCCTTAATTAAACAGCGCGCTTCAACACTCGATACCACACGTATTTTTAGACGTGAAGAGACAAACTCGCAGCTTGCCTCTGCAGTAGATCCCACAATTTGTATCCATAGAAAAGGAAAGATATAGAATGGCATCTCTTGTCTGAAAATTTGTTCGTTGACAACAGCGCCATCTTAATACCTATTACCAGTACTTTCCAAAAATCATGCATTCGATTCCTGTAAATTACTACAATAAAAAATGGCGGGTGAATTAAATGTGATTCCTTTCAATAAGCAAAAATAATTTCAATTGAAATTCAAATGAATACACAAAATGGGGAACAAACATTTATTATACATACATTTATTACACACGAGTATTATTATGTAAAAAAATAATGTATACAAAATTTGTAAAAACTTAATTGGAGCAATACAAACAAAAACAGGGTATGTTTTCATTAAGTCTAATTACAACTATTTTTTCTAGCTTTTGAGAAATTTTAGATAGGCTCCCATTTAACAATCATATACATATAAGTATTTAGTTAAATACACAAGTAATTTCAAAGTGGTTACTCGTAATTTTACGATAAATATTTTCAGAAGCATAAAATTACCTGCTAAATGAGATACCGATGTTGCTATTAACTACCTTCTTGCAGTTTTCCCATAAACTTTTTTTTTGAGGGAGTCGTCCTTAATAATTTCACTTCAGGGCTTATATCTTTTGATGTTCCTGGTACAGCTAACATTTCCGTTTCTGCAGATATAGGGCTTGGAACTGCTGCACAAAACAAGCAAACATTAATTCAAATCTAAATATGAAGACACGATTTTACCTTCTGTAGTCACTTCTGTTGATTTTGCAGGAAAATAAAAACAGTTTTCACTCGTTGGATCCTCATGAAATCCTACAATTTGCAAATAATATAGACTTTGTAAACAATTTCTATTAACAAACCTGGAATATTCAATGTCGGAATAGATCCATTTAAAATTCTTTTTGTTGATTGTCTGTTTATATTGATTTCTGCAAAATGTGACTCGCATATAAACTGGCTAACTGCTGTTTGTCTAGAAGTCAGTGAAGCATGTTTTGGGTTGTTTATTCTTGCAATCCAAATATCTAACAATCCTTATTGCTTGGAAAGCGATGTCTACGAGACGTCGTGTCTTCGCAATTTGGGATGCAACATGTACGTACTCTTTGTCCGGACCTTATCACACAATAATAAAAGACTCAACGATGCACACTGAAAACGTACCAATTATTATTTTTATATTTACCAATGATTAGTTTACCTTAAACTCTCCAGAAGGAACTATAAAGTCGCGATCTTTTCTATAGAACCACTCCCTAGTGTAAATTTTCAAAATTTGTTTGGTGTAAGTGACCTTGACGGGTTTCTGGGGGAAAACATAGGTGTCAAAAATTTGACAGGTTAGATGGCCCCATTGTCAGTGTAGATATTTTATTTTAATAAACAGATGAACAGAACATACAGTCTGCACAGGATACAGTGCGGCATAACTGAGGGCAACTGAAACATTCGTGTTGTGCTAGTTTCGATTGCCATATCAACTACCGCTACCAACCGCGTTCGGCGTAAAGTACTAGATGACAGGGCTATCAACTTGACTTTTTATCGAGTGGTTCCGTAGAAATGACCGCTACTGTAGTTCTGAAAAAAACTGATTTTACAAATCGGAAAAATAAAACAGCTGACTGCAACAGTTGAAAAGAAATCTCAAATTTGAAAGTGGACTCGCCCGAATAAAGAGCACAATATGATTCTATACATATCTTTGTCGCTCCCATTGGATTTGTACTGACACTGGTGCCATCTCTTGTCCTATTCCACAAGCTTTCAATGTTCAAGGTCATTGTATTAAGTTTCCACCCCCTGTTTGTATCCATTAATATGCAAGCAACCTACAATACACTCATAAACGGTATGAGTTGAAAAAAGATAAAATTGAGACTAGCCTCATTTCCTTGCTTGCAACAGTGACAACAATATTTGCGCGCGCACCACGTGCAATTGCAATGTGCCGTGCATTTATTTGCAGAAGTATTCAAAATTAGGCCGTTGATTGTTTTGCGACAAATCTGTTTGTTTTATAAATTGATTCAAAATTTCGGTAACAGAATTTTGTGTTAAATGTGCCTACGTTTGCGTGTGTCGAGTTAGTCATGGTTTGATTTCGGGTAAATTATTGCAAATCGGAATTTTTCTCGACTAACGTTTAATGACAATGGCAGTTCCAGAATCCGGCAAGGTGCATGAATGCCTGTCCAAGCCAAGGTAATTCTTAAGCCGGAATTCCACTGAGGCAACACTGAACGACATGTTGCTTGATACTTGTTGCCTAGTGTTGCCTGTTGTAGGCGTGCGACAATGTGGCATAAAATTTCAATTAATATCGCTGTGTGTTCCTTCTATGGAAAGATTGTGTGTAGCATGCGTCAATGCCGCATGCTATGTGTTGCCTCAGTGGAATTCCGGCTTTAGGAACACGAAGGATGTGGTAGACTTTTTAACAAATAATTGTGTTTTTTCTACTTTCACGTATGATGATAAATTGCATGTACTTAAAGAATTAAAACGGCCGGTTCCAGATTTGAGTAAATCGTTAATTGATTTATAAAAAAATTTAAAATAAATCCAGAGTATTTATCAACTTTTTTTCGTTTTGTTTTTTGTTATAAATCATATTAGATTTATTTTATATTTTATTTTTTTTCGATATGTTTTATTCAGAGTTTATTTCAATTTTATTTTTTGTTAGAATTTATATTTAGTTTTTTCTTTCCTTTCGTCCTGTCATTCCCATCCTTTCCTGACAAGAGTCCCCTACACTCCACGTTGGTTCTTTCTGGACAGTTAAATGAGTTTACAAATTTGTTTATCAGATAAAAGTAGAAAATATTTAAGTAACCTGGCATTATTTATATTTGGAGCGTTTTGCGCTTTGCCTCATCAACTTTTCAAGTCATGAGCCGCCCCTGGTCCAGCATCACAAGCATATCCGTACAAACTCTCTGCACAACTGCGGACATTGTAAAATATATTTACAACACATTATCAACGGGAATAGTCGCATCTGAGCATTATGTCTAATAAAAATCGGGACGGCAGACAGACGGACAGACTGACGGATAGATAGACAGACGGAATCGGGAGACCTATTTCTTCGTACTGTAGGGGTCATTAAAGGTCGAGAAAACGTAAAAAGCAGAGAGTCGGCCGATGGACTCGATTGCAATACTTTTTTCGCTTACGCTCGGGAAGTAAAAATATCATGAATCCAAGTTTGCATTCTTATCGTTTGGACAACGAGATTTAGGTTGTAGAGACTCTTGTTTGTTTTTCACATTGGACAAAGGACAATTGCGAGAGAAATTTTTGAACCCTTCCAATGGGGGTTTAGAAGAGCTAGAGGCATCACCGAATGCCACACGCTGCTAGCCTCAGATATCTATCTAGCCTTCACCACCTCGAACCAACTTGTGTGTTGTTTCCTCGATTTGACTGTTGCATACGACAAGGTCAACTTAACAATTCTCGCACAGCAACTTAGAGCTATCAACATCCCGGACAATCTCATCCAACTTACACTCCAATTTCTTACTCACCGCAATTTGTATTTGTCTCTGCCACAAGCAACTGACTTGATTGGACCAGTAACAACAAATATGGGACTTCCACAGGGTTCTCCCTGAGCCCAATACTGTTCAACAGTTACGCCACGATACCGAACGAACTATTAGCCTCAGGCTGCCGTCTGATACAGTACGCTGATGACTTATGCATTCTTTCTGTCAACACCACCCTTAGCAGAAGCATTACGAACTTAAACCTCAGCCTTCAATCTGTCACGGAATTGCTGCGAAGTCGAGACATGGAGTTCAATCCTTCGAAGTCGGCAGCGATGAAATTCTCTCAACGAGGCTCTCGACGGATCCCCTACGACGTCATCTTGCTCAACCACATTGTACCCTGGGTGAAAACATACAAATACCTAGGCCTCACAATTGACCAAAACGTACACTGGACCGACCATCTGCACTCCATGCTTCAACGTGCCACCAAAGGAATAAACTTAATGAAGCCATCAGCCGCACTTGGTGAGGAGCTGACCCCAAACTACTTCTCATCTTGTACTCCGCGCTCGTGTCGTCCCATCTGGATTTTGGTTACGGAAGCTACTTCTACTTACTCCAAGATAAACGCTCCAAACTCGAACGGCTTCACCAGAAGGCCCTCAAAACAGCACTCGGCTGCATGAAGTCGACCCCTACACTTAGCCTACTATCCGAAGCTGGTACTACATCCGTTGAGTTCCGACATACTCGTCTGGCAACCAAACTGCTCCGTAAAAATGCGAGACTACACTCAAATCTGGTAACGTTGAACATCACAAACCTATTCACTGCTTGCATGACCAACCAAGGCTTCTGGAGAAACAAACCAGTTCCATCGATACTGAAGGCCTTCGAGACAATATCCTGGTGGCAAGGCGAACTCGGTACAACATCCAACGACGCATGCTTCGAATACCCCAGACGAGTTGCATTTTATCCAATTCAGGAACTCGCCTCCTTTCTAACCAAAAACGGAACAAATAACAACACGGAGTTCCTGCAAACAGTCAACACCCATTATCCAAACTCGACACCTACGATAGTCTACACCGATGCGTCAGTGGATCCCATAACGGGCTATGCTGGAATCGGAGTTTACTGCCCGCCACATATCTCCTTCTCTGGTAGCCTGAAGACACACACCACTATCTGTTCAGCTGAACTCCTAGCCATCCTCAAAGCGCTACAACTTGCTGAGCACATAGCAGGTGAAATCCTCATCGCCACAGAGTCCCAATCAGCAACTGCTAGCCTTCAGCGCCTGAGCTAGAATATCAAATCTTCCCCCCTGCCACAAGTTATCAAATACCAAATCCTTGAACACCACACACACACACCAACATCTCCGCTTCCTCCGGGTCCCGAGTCACACCGGCATTAAAGGAAACGAAAAAGCAGACCGCTTAGCACAACATGGTCTAACGCTCCCCAAGACGTCCATATATAAGTTCCATTACTCCGACCTTATCCCAATCCTGGACAAACAACTTCAAAACAACTGGAAACTATACTGGACCAATGAAACTGCCCGTCTAGGAACTTGGTACGCGCACAACATACAACAAACCCCGCTCGCGAAACCGTGGTTCACCAAGAAATCCAATCTTAGTCGACGACAGGTCACCTTCCTTATCCGCATGAGAACAGGACACTGCAGCTGTGCGGCATTCCTATACCGGATCGGCGCCGCAAACTCAGAGAGATGCGACTGCGGCGAACTAGACACATAATCTTCACCTGCCCCAATATCCAGCGGCCCCCAAACTACTACCACCAGCTAAGCAAGGCTTTCAACTCCAACCCCCTATGGCTTCCTACAATGCTTCAGCAGCGCTTAACACTGCATGGACACTCATTGTAGACTTAGGTACTCCATACTCATCAAATCCATCTGTAAATCCTCACCGACGCTTCAGCACCATACAAAATTCAAATCGCCCGCCTTCATGTCCACCACGACAACTTCAACTTCACTGACACCCTTCTCTTTCTCCGCAGGAACATGGACTTGTCCCAGACGTGTTTCCCAACACATCTCTGCGGTGGAGAGATGGAAGATATTGTTTTCTGTCTATGAGAGTACCGAGGATCTGTGCACGCGTAAACAAAATAGAAGCGAAAGTATGAAATGTCAAAACGCGTCGAGTCACGCTATCGACTACAGATCAAGCAAGTACGAGTGTATACGCAGTACTGTTTGGTACCACAGAGAGACAGAGAGGTCCGAGATATTGCTCTGCCGTTGTGTTTTCGGACTTTTGAAGCCAGTTAGCAATACATATAGTGCGCAATTCGGACTTTTTGAGCTCGAAAGCTTAGGTAGCGGGCGCAACTCGAATACGTCCCAAAGTAACACAGCGTCTGCCACAGCGGACGAAAAAAGTTTGCGGACGAAAAGTGTTTGCGGACGAAAAGTGTTTGCGGACGAAAAATACTTGCCTTCAAAAATTGTCGACTTTTCGTTCGGGAATTGGTACGTAAAATGTCATTTTTGTAGAGGTCGACAAAAAAAAAATCAGTGCAGTGTCTGTGATGCACCTTTAGCGTCAATATGATTGATATTTTCGAAAAAACTGTCAAATTAACTTTGAAA